GACAGCCGGAGCGCGCAGCGTGCACATGATCTCCCCATGGCGATACCGGCTCGACGGGATGCGCGAGAGTGCGCAACCCGAACCGGCCCCGGTGGGTGAGTGGTCGAGCATTCGAGGGGTGAGCCTCGACACCAACGAGTGCAGTTGGAGGCTCAGCTCGTGCGCGGGATGCGGTGCCGCTGGGGACACACCGCGCGTGGCGACTGCAGCGTGCAAGGCCAGGTCGAAGCATGGTCAGCCACCACGCTTGGCGTCGGCCGAAGGCGTGCTCACCGCTGACGACGCGAGATGGCGTCGTGGTGGTCGACATCGGAGCCGGACATCAAGACGGCGTGTATCGAGGCGAAGGAACGCGCCGGTATAGTTCCTCGGTGGTGCGGTGGGCCAGGCAATCCCTCACCAGGACCTGGCGGTGCGATGCGCAACTACGTACCAGCTGCGAGCCTGTAAGCCCATTCAGGTCGGTCCGTGCGCCCAGACGCGATTTCGCCCACCGAGAGGTGTTGATCCCGCGACCCAGGATAGCAACCGAAGCGGATGTGTTGCGGCGCGAGTTGTGCGAGCCGCTATATCTGCGCATCGTGCAATGCTCAAGCTCCTGCGCGAGAGCTCTACAGGCCGAGATGGGCTCGGTTCCTCGGAGGTATCGTGCTCACGGGTGGCGTGTCTCGCATGCCTGGCTCGCCCAAAAGACACATCACTCAAACAGAAAGGGAAGCCAGTGGTGTGATGATCCCCGAGGTGACGTCGGGGCGCATCCGCTTTTGGTCATGCGGGAGTTGCCCGAATCGCTGCGGCAGCAGAATTCTCCCGACACGTGCTGTGCGCCTGCACTGGCCGTCCAACATCGCGAATCGGACGGACCAGGAGCGGCGACGAGGTTCCGGAGACCGGAACTGGTCGCCGGCCTTTGTCGCTTTTTTCCTTTCCGGCGTCCGTTCTGCGCGGCGGTCGCGACAAGCAGCGGCTTCGCTCAGATTGGAATGACGAGCTAGATCACTATATAACGAACGCGCGCCGCATGGCGGGCGAATTCGGAATAGTTTGACAATCGACAAAGCCCAACACGCAGTAAAATACAGGAGGCGAAAGACGATGATATTTCCGATAACTCGCGTCGATGGGAAACACCCGATACGCTGTTGATGACACGATGGCGCTGCTACCGAGTCGCACGTCCGCTGATAAAAGTTGCTATGGCGTGGGCGGCCGGCGGCTCCACGCGGTGAGCCGCAGTCGTATAAAGGGAAACTAGCTGCCGTGGTCGAATATATCCGCGTTGAACACGGATCGCGCAGCACCTCGCCGGTGCGACGGCACTCTACCGTATCCGCTGGTCGTCGAAAACCTTGACGACTGCGGGTTGGGAGCGCCGGCGCCCACCGAAGCTGGGACTGCCAGCGGCGAAGAGTCCGCGTGCGGGATCGAACAGGCGGTGCAATGAAGCGCGGACATGGTGTTCCGTGGCAGTCGGCATGGGCGGTGGTAACGGGATCCGCGCCCGCGCCGGTGGTCGCGCAGATAGCCACGGAATCGGGCGCTCTGACCATCGCGGTGTAGAGCCGGCCGTTCGGTTGAAGCCAGATGAGGCGGAGACACGCCGAGGACGGTCTGGAACGACTGCGGGACCATGTCGATACATGATCGTTATTCCCAACGATCGACTGCTGGCCCTGAATGAAGAAGAACTGCCGATTCTTACTCGTGGAAGACGCGCTCAAGCTGGCCGACTCGTGTGGCACCAGGGGATCAGCGCGCGCGCCGAAGTGTGCACTCGTGCCGGCGAGATCAACGTGGACTTTCGCCGACGTGAAGACGATCCTCACTGGCGCAGAGCGACAGCCTGGCTGTCCATGGGCCGTGGACGCGGCGATGACAGGAAGGGCCGGAAGCAGCCGGCAGTGCACCTCCAGTCGTTGCTGGACGCATCTCACGGAAGGGTCCCGACGGATCCTCTTCGTGCTGACCGGCGGCAACAACCTGTCGTTGCAGGAAGTTCAGGAAGCGGCGGCGGTGGTCGAGGATCTGGCCGACCCCAACGCCAACATCATCTTCGGAACCAACCGGGATGCCCGGCTGGACGACGAGGTAAAGATGAATCAATGTGTGGTGCGGGCTGTACTTCCCGTGTGGTGACGGAGACGCTCCGGAAGATGACATCTTTGCTCGTCAAGCTCCTGCGCCAGCTATGGTACCTCCCGGAAGCAAGGGACTACGAACTGCCGACGTTCCTGCAGAACCGTCAGAATCGCCGGGATTTACGGTAGACCGGTCACCCTTCGACGCCAACGGCCCCCTCTCCAAAACGGAGAGGGGGCTTATTTTTGTGCCTCCACGCTTGGCGGGTCGAAAAATCCGCGAAATCGCAGTGAAAATCTGACAGCATTCACTGTGCGCACTGGAATCGCGCTCGGTTATATCCTGACACACCAAGTTGTGGTTATCGGGTTCCAAAACACAATATATACCGTTTTCAAAAACTGTCTGAAAAAACGACCAAAAGGTAACCCAACCGATGAAATGCCCATATTGCGAGACTGTACAAAGCAAAGTAACCGACTCGAGGGATGCCGACAACGGCATTCGGAGGCGGCGGGAATGCCTGTCCTGCGGCCGTCGGTTCACCACGCACGAACAGGTCCGGCTGCCGGCGCTGCAAGTGGAAAAGCGCGACGGCAAGCGCCAGGAATTCAGCCGCACCAAGTTGGTCTCCGGGATCGACATGGCCTGCACGCGAAGGCCGATCCCCCGCCGGGACATCGACCGTTTGGCTGACGACATTGAATCAGAGCTCCAACGGTTGGGCAGCGGCGTCGTCAAGTCCCGAGACTTGGGACTGATGGTGCTGGAGCGGTTGCGCGCGTTGGATGAAGTCGCATACATGCGATACGCGTCGGTGTACTACGACTTCCAGGGGGCGGACGACTTCGAAGAACAAGCCCGTTCGCTGCGACAGGGACAACCGGAACCGCTGCTGAGTCTGGCGGCGGTCACACCCCGTAAGCCTCGGGCCCGCCGCGCCACCGGCCGCGGAGGTAAATAGGCCGAACCACGTCCGGCTCTTTGGTGGGCCGGGACGTGATCCGAGGCATCGTTTTTAAGACCCATCTACCTGAGGACTCAAGGGCGCACCGGCATCGCCACATTGTCGGGCGTCCAGGTCAACAACCAAATTGGCAACATTGCCACCCCGCTCGCCATCCACAACCCTAGGGAGGTGTTCAACCACCATCATGAGCAGCACCGTTCAATTCTCCGCCTTCACAAGGCTGTTGACCCACACAACCGGGTCCACGACATGGAGGGGATGCTGCGGCAGATGTGGGTCCCGTCGGACTGGGAGACCAGCGGCGTGGACAATGGCGATTCGTGGATTCCGAACCCCTTTGCCGAACTTCAGGATGACCTGGACCGAGAGGCCCGGGCCTGCCTGGTGAGTTGCTGGGCGGCTTTGCCGGCGCAACGGGAGGATGACGACCTCATTGCGTGAACGCGTAAACCGTCCGAGACAACCGGCGGCGGCGGACTTGGCTCCGCCCCGCCGGGTGTCGACCAATCAACTCCAGAATGAGCCTAAAGCTCGGGAGCCTGAAGAAATGCAACATTCGGTGCATTACAACGTTGAGATCAACTGCGGTCCGTGCCCGGAGGGGTCCGAGACCGCGATTACCCAGCAGTTGCGAACCGCCTTTCCGGTGACCAATTGTCGGAACACACCCACGGGACTGGCATTGCGACTGACCGCGGGTCACCAGTACGCTTACGGAGCATTGCGAGATTTCGCAGACCTGGTGGCGGATACGCTGACCCGGTTGGGAATCAGCATGACGGCCGGGGTGGTACGCCTGGTCACCAGGGGAACCCCGGGCGAGGAAGGAGTTTGGCATCGCGTGCAGGACGCCACGGCTGCGTTGGTTGGATTGGACCTGCGGCCGCAACGCGAGACACCGGTGCTGTACTTCTACAAGGGGTTTGCGGTTTGACCTGGACCTGTCCGCACGCTCGCAAGGGGCGAGCGGGCGAAAAGTAGGTCGAGTAGTCTGATAACGATGGCGGGACCAGGCCCGCCAGCGTTCCGCCACGTCAGGCGATAAACCCGGCGCGGAGAGGGTTGATGGTTAACTACAGCGGTGCAGGGGAACCTCATGAGCTAATCGTTGTGACTTTGTCTGCCAATCATAAATTTGTGTCAATATAGTTGACGTTTGAGTGGTGGTACTTGCTGTGGCAACGGATGACGGGAATTGATGCGGCGGTGAAGGACCTCAGGGTCTCGGCCGATCTGTGAGGCGGAGCATCCGGGACGCAATGGTCGCGCGCGCGGCATAGCCGGTCGAATACAACGATCGAAATGGCACGCTGACCGATAACGCAAGGGTCGTGCTGCACGCCGTTACCTGTCCAAGGACCGGGAAGGGGAACATACTTGAAGACCCGGAGGGAATGTTCCGACGGGTTGCCCGGAAAATCTGTCCCAGTCCGAGTTGGAATATGGGGCCACGGAAGAAGAACGGCCGCCGTAGCGGAGCGTTTTACCGGGTGATGCGACGGCTGGAGTTTCTGCCGAACTCGCCGACGTTGATGAACGCTGGGCGCGAACTGCAGCAGCTGTCCGCGTGCTTCGTGCTGCCGATCGAGGATTCCCTGGATTCCATCTTCACCAAGGTGAAGGAGACGGCGCTGATCCACAAGAGCGGCGGCGGCACGGGCTTTGCCTTTTCGCGACTGCGCCCGGAGGGGCGACGTCGTGGCGGTCGACCGGAGGCGTGGGCGTCAGGCCCGGTGAGCTTCATCAACGCCTTCGATTGCCGCGCACCGACGTGGTCAAGCAGGGCGGCACCCGCCGGGGCGCGAACATGGGCATCCTGCACGTTACGCACCCGGGACGTGCTGTCGTTCATCAGGTCCAAAGAGGACGGACGCGTCTCAGCAACTTCAATATCTCTCGTTGCGGTCGTTACGGAAGAATTTCATGGTGAAGGCGGAAAACGGCGAGGACTATGATCTCGTCAAACCCGCGCACCGGGGACGTGGTCGGGAGTCTCAACGCCGGCGAAGTGTTCCGACAAATGACGGAGCTGGCCTGGCGCACCGGCGACCCGGGTATCGTGTTCCTGGACCGCATCAATCGCGACAACCCGAACCCGCAGCTGGGAGACATCGAGTCGACCAATCCGTGCGGCGAGCAGCCGCTGCTGCCATACGAGTCGTGCAACCTGGGTTCGCTGAACCTGGCCCGGATGGTGCGGTACACGGACGATGACGTGCTGGTTGACTGGGAACGGATGAGTGAAGTCATCACGACCGCGGTGCACATGCTGGACTGCGTGATCGACATGAACGACTATCCCATCCAGGAGATACGCCGACATGAGCCGGCGGACCAGCGCATCGGGTTGGGCGTCATGGGATGGTCGGACCTGCTGATCCAAATGGGGCGTGCGCTACGACAGCGTGGAAGCCCTGGAATTGGCGCGTGACGTCATGAAATTCATCCAGGACGAGACCTACCGGGCATCGTGCGAACTGGCCGAGTCCCGGGGCCCGTTCCCGGAGTGGGAAAACAGCGCCTACAACGAGGGACCGACTTCGACGCCGATGCGTAACTCGGCTCCGGTGACGATCGCGCCCACCGGAACGATCAGCATCATCGCCGGGGCTTCCAGCGGGATCGAGCCATTGTTTGCCTTGTCCTTCGTCCGCAACGTGATGGACAACACGCGACTGGTAGAGGGCAACGCCTACCTGGAAGCCGTGGCACGCCACGAAGGGTTCTACTCGCCGGAACTGATGGAACAGCTGGCCAGCGTCGGATCTCTGGACGATTTGGACGTGCCCGACTGGGTCAAGAACGTGTTCCGGGTATCCCACGACATCGACCCCCGGTGGCACGTGCGGATGCAAGCGTCCTTCCAGGAATACACGGACAACGCGGTATCCAAGACGATCAACTTCCCTCACGACGCGGCGGTGGAAGACGTGGCGGAAGCCTACCGTTCCGCCTATACCCTGGGGTGCAAGGGAATCACGGTGTACCGCGACGGCAGCAAGGCGGAGCAGGTGTTGAGCACCGGCAACGCCGCGCAGCAATCTGAGGACGACATCCCGGTGGATCCCGACGACCCGGACGCGGTGAAGATCATCGGGCCCGGCCAACGGGTGCCCCGGCGCCGGCCGCGGCAGATCCACGGCATCACCGAACGGGTGCGGACGGGACACGGCAACATGTACGTCACCGTGAACATGGACGCCGACGGAATGCCCTTCGAGGTGTTCGGGGCCATGGGCAAGGGCCGGGCGGATGCGACGCGGCGTTGCTGGAGGCGGTATCTCGCCTGATTTCGCTGGCGTTGCGCGCTGGCATCGAACCCAGCGAAGTGACCCGGCAGTTGCGTGGGATAACCTGCTGCCCCGCCTGGGACGACGGCGTGCTGGTCGGGTCGGGCCCGGACGCGGTTGCGCTGGTGCTGGACAACATAACCAACGGCGGCGATGCCCTGGACAGCGCGCCGACGAGCGTGCAACTGAGCCTGGCCGGCGGACCCACGGAGAACGGAACGAACGGTTATGGGTCGGCGCCCACGTACCCGACCGGCTTCTCCCAAAGGTGCCCCGAATGCAACGGAGGCGTGGTCAGCCAGGAGGGCTGTCTGACCTGCTATTCGTGCGGCTGGAACAAGTGCGAATAAGACACTACCGAGGGCGGAAAGGTATCCGCCCTCGGTATTTAATAATGGACTATTTTTTATCGCGATACGTGGAGATAGAACGTGTCTCCGCCAGACCGACGTAGACGATACACGGTTATGCAATCTGACCTGTTTGACAGCGACTGGCGATTAGGGATACGGGAGGGATGGATCAATCCAATGGCCGACCCATCAACCTTGGACTCACATCAAGGGATTTCTCGCCCAATCGCCATGGCTCCCGCAGCAGAATCGCGGAATGGTCGGACAACCTGAGAGCGATCGATTTTCCACGATCTGCTCGCGAACCCGGGTCGGCAAGTTTGCGAACTCCGCTACGAGATCATTGAAGACGACCAAGAGGTTAGCCTGCTGAGCATCAGCCCGATCACTTGATGACCCTGGCTTCCTGAATGTCTCGCGGACGACATTGCTGGCAGAGGTATGACGCGTATGGCGAGTTCGTAGGCGCTGGGCTGCATCTTCGGTAGACAGCCACGCGTTCTTGATGCAGAGTACTGCTCGAGTCCCAGCAGCTATAAAGACCGGCTGAGCGCGTGGGAGGATGACCTGCGCTCGCGGGTCACCAAGTCCGACGGTCCACACGTGTTCCGTCTCCGAAATTGGCTGAACGAAGCAGCTGGCTAAACATTCGCTAGCAGGTGGTTGGTCCCGCCGCTCGACAACTCGTACAATACTCGGCGTCGCACGTTCCCGCCCTTCGGTCGCGGAGCTTGATACAATTTTCCGGTTGGTACGGACCGGTGAGGGAAATGACCACGTACGTAGTCCCGTTATGGGGCGCTCGCGCGTCGTTAGATGGATGTATGAATCGCAATCTGCCAAAATAGAGGAGCTGGTGGCCAATTTTGCCAGTATCAAAATTAGCGGTCGTCAACGGAAATGTTCGCTTAGGTACAGCCCGCCTACGATGATGCTTGCGACGGTCCTGTTCATAATTTTCTGCGGTTGATCCTGCGCTATTCTCGCTGGACGCAGGCGTGGCCTGGGAGGTATGATGCCGAACGTCTAAACGATGTGCCAATCGCGACAACCGCAGGCAGCTACGGTGAGCGCGTTGAGGGCCGCAATCGACTGCAGTGCTATAATCTGCACGCCGCAAGTGGCGGATCATAATTGCGGGTGCGCTATGACGCACGAGGCGTGAGATGGCAGGTCTGCATAACCGCAGTACCGGCGTCAGCTGAGGTCCGGCCAAGTCATCACCATGGGCGGACCACTGCGGGATTGGCCAGGGAGGCGGTGGTCGTCGTGCAAGGCGCTGGCCGATCGACGTGCGTGTATGCTCGACGTGCCGCCGCGGTGGTGGTGGGAAACAACTGTCATGCGATGGAAGAGCGGCACGCCTCACCGCCGTTGCGCGTTGGCATCAACGGCACGGACGACCTCACTGGGGCCGGACGGGATCTTCGGGCGTGTGGACAGTGGTGGAGCATGCGGGAGATACAGGAATACCGAAGACATCACGTGAATGGGTCAGTGAGTGTGCAGTGCGGCAAAGCGCGGCCATGGAGTGGGGTCAGCAAAGCGGGCCGAACTGGCGATGGCGTGTGGTCGACGGCCGGCTACGGCTTCCATTGAACAAGGAGGCTGCCGCGCTGAGGCGGGTACGAGGCCACTCGGGACAGCATGGAGTTGACTGCAGAGTTGTCGTGCGCAGAGAGAGAAACGCGTCGCGACGATGCTCATGGCTCAAGCACCTGCGTGTGGTGCATCTGACCACGCACCGGTCGCTGCGCTTGGCCTGCGATTACGTGAATGAAAGACCGGATCCTCGACTACCTCAGGCTGACGGACGAGAACTTCAGAATGTGGGGATTGCGGAGCCGAGGATCGGCGTGGCGGCGTTGAACCGCACGGCAGCAGACGGAGATTGTTGGGAAGCGAGGAGGCGGAAGAGATCGCCGGCGGGTGCAGCAGGCACAGAGTGAGGGGATCAAAGCATTGGGCCGGTGCCGGCGGACATCATCTTCCACCAGGCGATCCAGGACCGATACGACGTGACCCTGTGCATGTACCACGACCAGGGGCACATCCCGGTCAAGGTGTACGGCTTCGAGGAGAGCATTACCGCCAACCTTGGGCTGCCCTTCATCCGCACGTCGGTGGACCACGGCACGGCATTCGACATAGCGGGCAAGAACCTGGCGGACCACACTTCGATGGTGGAATCGATCCGTATGGCGGTGGCCTTCGCGAGAGGCGACGGTCTCACCGATTCCTGGGGCGAGGACTAGGGCGATGAACATTGGCTTCATCGGGGGCGGAACGATGGCAGAGGCCATCCTGGGCGGGATGCTCGATGCGGGCGTCGCGAAATGCCGGCGACGTGATGGTCGGAGAGCCGGTACCGTCGCGGCGGGACTACCTGGCCGAAAGATACGGGGTCGCGGTTTCCGACGTAAACAGTGCCGTGCTCGAAGTATCCGAACTGATCGCGCTGGCGGTGAAGCCGCAGGACCTCCCGAAAGTGTACGCCGATATCGGAGGCTCGTTCGGCAGTGGGAAATCGCTGATGTCCATTGTGGCCGGGGCCACGATGAGCTCGCTGGCGAGGGATGAAGCACGACGGGATCATCCGCGTGATGCCGAACACGCCCGCGCAGATCGGCGAGGGCATGACGATGTGGACCTGCGCTCCTTCCGTGAGCGAAGCGCACCGCGAAGCAACCGGCGCCATGCTGTCGACCATTGGCGACGCCATTTACGTCGACGACGAGAAATATTTGGACATGGCCACGGCGCTCAGCGCCAGCGGGCCAGCGTACTGTGTCCTGATCCTCGAGGCCCTATCGATGCCGGCGTGTACGTGGATTGCCGCGCGACGTGTGCGCGGAGGATGGCGCTGCAAACGGTCAAGGGAAGCGTCCAGTTGGTGTCCGAAACCGGTCGGCACCCCGGCGAGTTGAAGGACATGGTCACGTCGCCGGGCGGCACCACGGCGGAGGGACTGCAAGCCCTGGAACGCGCCGGTGTCCCGGCGGCATTGGTCGACGCCGTGAACGCCGCATACCTGAAATCAGTGCGCTGGGCCAGAACTAGACTCCCCCGGTTACTTGGAAATTGCCCATGCTCCAGCTCATTACACTATTCATCACGCTGTGCTACCTGCTGCTGCTGGCCCGCATCATCCTGGGCTTCGTGGTGCAGTACATGTCGACGCGAGGAAACGGGACGCCGGACGTGCTTGCCCGACCTGTACGAGGTCGTGTTTGCATTGACGGAAACCCCGGTGATCGGGCCAATCAGGCGGGTTGCTGCCGCCAGACGGATGATCGACTTCAGCCCGTTGGTGGTGATGATCGTGCTGGTGGTGGTCCAATATGCCCTCCGGGCGTTATTAGTGTAGCGTCAAACCGGTTCCTGCAATCGGGCGCAAAGGAGAGCGCTGGTGTCCGGATCAACGTCTCCGGGTCGCAGCGCAAGTCCTGACGCCAGGAGGGCTGCGCCCCGGCCGATTTGCAACTGCTGAGATCGCGTACGCTGAGGAGTTGCCGGCCACGGCGGGAGCTCGCCGAACCTCGTATACTCTGCGGGTTGCCCGGCACCGGAAAGTCGCTTTCGCCAGGGAGTTGGCCGCTGGGCCCCGTTCGTGTGGTTGAGCAGCGACCGCACGCGCAAACTGTTGGTCGATGCTCCCTGTTACAGCCGGCGAGAAACACCGGCGAGTGTTTCCGCGATGCATTTTTTGACCCGCGGCTACCTGCGGGATGCTATTCGGTGGTATTCGACGCCACCAATCTCAACGAGAACGTGCGGCGACCGCTATAACGAATCAGCCGAGCGCGGTTGGCGTTAAGCCGTTGATTGTGCGTTTACCACGGCGCCGGCGGAACTGTGCGGCAACGGCTTGCGGACCGGGCCGCAGGACGGGAGATGCCTCGCAAGCGATGCCACCTGGGACGTGTACTCTCGCATGGCGGTGGCCGACCAACCCGTGCCGGTGCCGCACCTGCTGGTCGGTGGTCCGGAGGACACGGAGTCGGTGTTGCGAGAAACCTGCGACGGACTGGCTGGCAGCCGGTTGTGCCGTCTAACAACGCGGTTGGCATATCTGGCCAACGACGGGTGAACAATCGGTTTCAGGAGAAGCAGCATGGCAGCTACGATCAAGGTCACAGCCGGAGACGCCTACCGAGTTCGCCACTCCGGCGCTGGTGGTTATATGTTCCAGGCGTGACGGAGCCGGGAGGCGGAACCGGGGCCGTCGACCGTGCGCTGGACGGGGCGATTTCGCAACTGATCGCCGACGGCGAGATCAAGGGAAGCTGGGCGAACTGACGCTGATCCACACGCTGGGCCGGGTTTCCGCAGCGCTGTGGTGGTGTGCCGGCTTGGGCCAGCAGGGGATTTCGACACGGCCGCCGTGCGACGCGTCAGTGGCGACGTGGCCCGGTTCCTGCGGCGCAAAGGCGTCGACGAATACGCGACCATCGCCCACGGCGCGGGCATCGGCGGGCTGACGCTGTCGAGTCGGCGCAGGCCATCGCCGAGGCACCCTGCTTGGCCTGTACAAGTTCGACCACCTACCACCGCAGCGGCGCACGGAACCTCTGGAGAATGCGACGCGGACAGTGATGGCGACGGTGGTCGGCAGCGTCACGATTGTGGAGCGCGATTGCAGGAACGTGTTAGCGACCTGACCGCCGGCGTGTCCGTGGGAACGGTTCTCGCGAATCGACGATGCTTGCGCGGGACCTGGTGAACATCCGGCGAAGTGATGACCGACGAGATGGCCGAAGCGGCGGCCGGAGGTTGTCGGAATCGTGTCGGGTCTGAATTGGAGACGTCATGGACCGGGCCGGGACCGGATGCGAGAGCACGGATGTGGCGCTTTCCTCTGGGGTAGCGCAAGGCAGCGAGAACCGCCCAAGCTCATCGTACTGACCTGACCTAGCCTGCGGTGACCCGGATCAGGTATCCGCAGAACACCTCGGTTTGTGGGCAGGGCATCACCTTTTGATACCGGCGCCAACGGCGGATCTCGTGAAACCCGCCGCCAACATGAGGGCGATGAAGGGAGACTGGCCGGCGGCGCTCTCGGCTCCTAATACTCATTAGCTTCCTTGATGCATTTCCTGAAGGACAATGCTCTTGCGAGGGATCTGCGTTTCCGTTGATCGCCGCAATTGCGCGCCCCTCGTGTCGTTGCACTTTGCCCCGCATTACGTGACCGGCTGATCGCGGCTACGAGAACATGCCCGGCCGGGCGTGGCGTCAGCGTCCCCGTGGACGTGTGATGACGCGCTGACGCAAGCACGTATCGAGTGTTATCAAGCACGGCCGCGGAGGGTCGGCTGTGCGTGGCCGATGCGTCTGTGCTACGCGCGCAGCCTGGGGATCACGGCTGGTGTGACGTGGCAGACGCTCACGCGGCGCGATGGTGGTGAACGCTGGGAAGGCGTGCACCGGCATGATGGGTAACTCCACAAATTGGCGAAAGGACGTCGGGGTCGCCGGGGAGCGCAGCGGCGAACGTTTCTGGGAACTGCATATGCTCTGAAGATTACTACCGTCGGGAGCTGATCCGCTCCGACGTGCCGACGTGAAGAACACGGCGGCGCAAGCCGGCTCGATACCGCGGCGCGATGCTCCTGCGTGAGTCGCGGAAGACGCGGATTGGGTCCACCTGGACATCGCCCGGCGGCATCCTCCGACCGCCTCGTGCAACAATTGGTGTGCACGCTGGGACTGTGTGGGCCACCGGCGTACCAACCCGGACGCTGGCTCTCAACTGGCGTTAATCGGCTGGCCGTCAGGCGCGGTATAGGTATTGACGGTCAAGCAAGACGTCCGAGCCGATGAGGAAACAGACAATTGTGTGATCCAATAGGGAACCGAGATGATAATGCGCGCATGGAAAAGAGTGCGGTGGGACGTAACACTTGTGGTGGTCTCAATTGTGATCGGTATGGCGTTTGCAGGGTTATATGATTATGACTACGGCTCAGCGCGAATGGAGGGAGTCCGCGAGAAGCTGTGCTGTTCCAAATTCTAATATTGGAGCGCAGCCTGGTTGAGCGCGCTTGATCGGCTCGTAGGCAAGTTGGACAAAGTGCGGCCACGACAAGCAGTACGCTCCCGCTCGCGTTGCGCAGCGTCCTGTTTACTCATTTGGTGGTCTACAACGCCTCACGACGCTGTCGAGCAGGTGGCGGCAACTGATCACGCGGCGCGACCGCTTGTGGCCACTGTTACGCAGATTGAAAGCAAATGGATCTCGCTAACTCGGCGATTAAGGATTAGGCCGCGATCTGATCCCGGAGGAGTTCGAAGACTGCTCGCGGGGAAATCTTGAGCGAGCAGAATTTTTGTTTGTGACGGAGCAGCCCAAGCAGCCTGCGCGAGCGACCCAATCAGAGGCAAGGGCGCGAGAGTACTCTCTAACAGAACGGTAGCCTGACATTGGGGAGAAAATCATGACGTCAGGAAGCATGCTGTTTGATATATTGGTTCCGCCGGGACTCGCGAAATCGCTGCATCCATTTCTGCAACCGGTTGAGGTGCTTGGTATATGTCGACCTGGGACCGAAGCCTCGAATCGCGTATTGAGCGTCAGAGAAAATGTCTCGTTAGATCAGCACTTATCGCACCGAAGCATTGGAGGTATCCGACTGCGTGTGATCTCTAGGCGTTTGGGAGACGGACACCGAGGATTCAATGACGCGCGATAGCTGACACGGGGCTTCGCTGATCAGGCTTCGTAGGTGACGCAGGAGACCCCGTTGTTCAGGTTATCGAGGGCACCTAGCTAACGCGTCGAAATCAATAAGGCGGGTCTAGTTTCTCCAGCGGTCGTCTGACGCTAGGGTAATGACGGCGACAGAACTCTTGGGTGGGTCAGTTTCATTTTGACTGGATGGGTACAGGATGGCTGACACGGTAGCCAGCGAGATTTCGATCTACCAGGTCGTGGGCAATTGGGCAAAACACCCGATGGGTGGGCATCGGACAGGCAGCACCGGCCTGCGAACTCCAGGACGGGTGTACGTCTTCAATCGTGGCGATCACGCTGATGTGTTCGACGCGCGAGGGCAATTTCCTGGCGTGAGTGGGGTCGGGACCGCGTACTCTGATCTCTGGACGCGCACGGGATATACATTCAGCGGCGAGATCACGTCTATCTGCCGGTTCGGGAGTCCCATGCCATCGTCCAGTGCCGCTGACGGCAAGCGCTGATCGACCATGGGGGTTTGGGATGCGCCGCTCGCTACGCGCTGGGCGCGTCCAGATGAACGATGTCGGAAAGCGGCCGGCCGTTCAATCGGTGCACGGACATCGCGTTGGCTGCCCACGGCAGACCTGTTCGTCTCGGACGGTACGCCACAGCCTGGGTCACACTAAGTTTTCGCCGACGGGAGCTGCTGCTATTCTCGGGGACGCCCGGGCAAGCGACGGCCCCGGCCGAGTTCCACATCCATGCCGGCATCTGGGTCGCACTGGACGTCGCCGTGATGGCGGTGCGAACCGTGGTGGGGAGAACAAACGGAGTCAGCTATTCACCGGCGACGGCGAGAATACCTGGGGATGTGGACCGACCTGGCCGTCCTTGCGATATCTACTTGTCGATCACGACGGCATCGTGTACGTGTGGGCTGGACGCGTTCCTGACTATCCTGACCTGGACGCGAATGCTGGGCCAAGGCGGATCTCATCGGCGGAGCCGCGGACACGCGTGTGGGCGGACTCGCATCGGCGACCTCTACATCGGGCACAACCAGGAAGGCCGACGGCTGGTGAAGCTGGTGCGGCAATAGGGGCGGAGGCTGCCAGCGGGGCACCAGGACTAGAACGAGGGACGATCGCATTATCCGCCCTCGTGCATGACACCTGCGAGACCTTCCAGGTCGTCTACGACGCGGACCGACGCAACGCCGCGCTCGCGACTTCGGCGCAGCGTCCACGCCCTGCTTGCACCTTCTGGCCTGACGCCCATCAGGCGGAGCGACGAACGGCCCATCGGTGAGGCTGATGCGATCCAGGACAGTCCTGCCAGGGCGCGGTAGTCGCAGTGCCAGCCGCCGTTGGATCGTCGCCGCCTCGATGCGTCCTCTTCTCCCTGACGGGAGGCCACCGCCCGGTAAACCGCGCAAGGATCGCGGCGGGGGCGAGCATCATCACCGGGAGGTCGGCTTCGGTCAGCCGACTGTTCCAGGAGCCGCGCACGGTGCGACACGCCGTGCATTCCGCAGACACAAAAACAGATATGCGGCGAAGCTGGCGTCGCGTTTTCGCAATTCGGTGCGTATGGTCGCGTCCGGACTATCTCGTGGGACCCGTAGCCTGTTTGTACCAGACATAGGGCCATCGCTGAAGAGCCTCCCGGATCGATCGTTGCTGCAGATCGTCCGCCAGCGATAACCAGCTTGTCGTGGTCGTGCTCCGTCGTAGTGGTGGGACATGATCATCCTCTAGGCGATTACATACGCTCTGTTTTGAGCCGCTGCAGGTCGATTTCACCATCGTAGGAGTGTGCGTTCAGACTGCGGCCGACGTGACACATCGGAGAAGCGATGGCAGTATTCGGCCGGGATTATCTGCCAGTGGACGCCGACTTGTCCGGTATCCATCCGCACTGGATACGGCGAGCCGGCTCGGCAGCCGGTCCATAGTCAGTCGTCGATTCTTACTGTGCGATTCGCAGTGACACGAAGAGATGGCCGGCGTGAATTCGTAGGCCGGGATTCTCGAACGCGGGTTGAATTTGACAAATGAATGATCGTTTGGGGAAAGCTGGCCCTGCATTACAGATCGACAAACAACGACACCACATGGCTGCCGGCGCCGGGTCTTCCGCCAGCGCGAAGCGTCAAACATGATGCGGGTAGTCATTGAAAGTAGACACGTAAAGAACATCGGCCGCCTCGAGTGTGGCGCAGCCGTCGAGCACAGGAACGGGGTGATGGTTGGGTGATTTTGTGCGTGCGTTTATTGCTGATCGAACGCACCGCTGGTCCATAGGCCGCTCCGGGTTTCCCGTCTTCGGGCCGATCAGGTTTGGTGGCGCAGACAGAGTCTTGTGCGGTCTGCTGATGGCAGTGTGGCTGGACGTAAGAGGTCAGCTAAGTGGCGTCGAACTGGACCAGGATGCCGTCCGGGTCATAGACGTCGAAGCTGCTGACCCGCCTTCGGCGTGGTCCAAACGTCCATCGCGCGGGCCAGAGGACGCCCTGGGCCGACAGGTTGTCGGCCAGGAGCCCTGGGTCGGCAACGCTGAAGGAGATGTGCTGCTGCCCAACTGGTCAAGTTGATCGGTCCATCCGGTTCTCGCCGGATGGGAGGTTGTCCATGTGCGTGAGGTGGGCTTGTTGGCGCCGTCGGCTATAGGCGAGGCGAACGACACTGGCGACGCGTGGCCACCGGTTTTGTTGTGGGCGTAGACGTGGGGTGCAGCACCGCCGTGGGTGGTGTCCTGCGATGCCGTCGACTGACGATGGACATGCCCCAGCGCGTCGCAGTAGAACGTCAACAACGAGACGATCAAGGTCCGTTACGCGACGATGGCATGTGAGACCCCCGAGGCGTTCATGGGCATGATGGAGACTCCTGTTCAGGCGTGTTCGCGGAGCGGCAGGCCCGCAGAGCCGCCAGTACTCAAGCGGAGGCAATCAGCCCACCGTACGCTAGGTCGTAAACTGCACCAGCATGCCGTCGGGTCGTAAACGAAGATGCTGGACACCGCGCCGTGGCATGGGTGAAACGTCCATCGGACGCCCGCGAGTTCCACGCCTGGCGGCGATGAGCTCGTCGGGCCAGGGCCCTGACGTCGGTCACGCTGAAAGAGATGTGGCTGATGATGCCACCTGGTCCAGCTGATCGCGCCGCCGTCGGCTATCGTCGCCCGGTGGCTGGTCATGCATGACGAGGGTTGGGAACGTGCCCGTCGCCGTAGGACGGATTGGCCTGCCGGCGAGTGGACCGGTCGTGGGCGTAGACGTGAGGCAGACCAGGGGCCGGTGATGGGTCCTGCCACGATCGACGGTCACGCGTCATATGCCCAGGATCTGTCGCGGTCGGAGCGAGAACTTTGAGGAGTTTCGTTCGCCAGATCACGGACGCACACGGCGATGATGGGAAAACAGCCGCTGGAATCATAGCATGATAGGCCTCCTGAGCGAGGGTGGAGCACGTAAGTTTAGTCTATCAGCAATTCAGCGTATGCTACTGCCGCCATCTCGGGGATGTCAAAACAGGCGGCGGCGCGTTGGCAGGCACAGTGGTCCACCCGTTTCACCGAGAATGAGCGCGCCCAGGCCGACGGGCCGAGGACAATCCTCCAAATCCGTGCGGAACGACCACACACGCACAGACCGAATGCGTGGGACAGGCCGAAAGACCCACCGCCAGCAGCAGGACAACGCGCTGGCCATGGTCAGCAACACACTGCACGCCAGGCCTGACCCAGGGCCTCTGATCATGAACGCATGGAGCTGATGAATTCGATTGCGACAAGCAGGGCCAACAGAGACAGTACGCCAGCGCGGCGCCGCGATAATTTCTGACGGCGCAGGCTTCGCGGCGTCGAGAAGAGTGGGTGGGGACCGATATGCCCGGCAGGGGCAAAAAGGACGGCGATCATGATGCGGCCGCCGACCGTCGCCCCAGGCACACTTTGCAGATGGCCTGGCGACCGGGTTTCGCGTAGTATGCGCGCGCCGTAGTTGTAGCTGCCAACGGCAGGTAGGCCAACGCCGCGCCGAGGAACGGGGCCAGCGCGAACGCCAGCACCGCGTTGATCGTGACTCCCGAAACAGGGCGATTTGTACGCGGACCGCCGCCTGGGTACTGGTCTCAGGATGTTGTTGATGACGACGACGACGATTGGACCCGCGCGATCGTCTATGATGCAGATGGGCTGCGCCCACGCCAGGATCGCTCGGATATATTACGAAACGGGCAGCAGGGCATCGGCGGGATGCGCAATGCGCTGCGACCCGAAGATAAAAACAGCCTCCGTTAGAGCACGGCCAGCGATGGGCCAGCACCGTTGCGGCGGCGGCTTCTCGGTTGAGGTGACGCCCACCAGCACTCGACACACCCAACCGTAGCCGCCAATGAACACCGCGTCCAGGGCGCGTTGACGATGCGCTGCGGCCAACACCACCGGGTGCGCGGTCGCCGGCCGTCCCTCGGGCCATGAAGCGTGTTCAGAGTCCATGGCGACCATGGTGAACAGCTGCCCGGAAGGATGATCGCAGGTACTGATCACGTACTCTATCGTATGGGCTGACGCCCATCCAGTAGGCCAGCGTGTCCAGCTGACACGGCCCGCCGCTGTGCCAGGAGGGTTATAACGCGGCAGGATTACGGCCAAAGACGAACCGTATGACACGAGATTGCCGGCGCGGAGTCCCCGGCTCCCAGCGCGCGGGATACACACCGACATTCCGCCCAGACCGGTTAGCAGGCCGATGGCGACCGCGGCACTCTGCACCGGGGAACGCGGCCGACAGACCGCTCAGCGCGTCCACGCCACCACGTTCCCGATGAAGGCGCGATCGACGATGCTGTACATTGCCATCACGATATGGCGAGCATCGGCGGAAAGGCATCTGCAGGAGGAGCCGCCACATGGGCGCGTTGCCCATGGCGTCGGCCTGTCGGGTGGACTGTTATGGCCTGGACATGTGGGAAATGTGCTTAGATTGGAAAAGTGGCTTCTGGCTAGAAAGTGGCTTCTCAGTGAAAGTGGTTCTTCTAAGAGTGGGAAATTGCTTACGAGCGGTTTTGACCGGTTAAACGCGGCGCGATGCTAAAATCAAACGACCACGCATTATAGGAAATTGAGGACGCGTCAGCGCATCCGCCGGGACACCAGTCTCCGTAGCAGCGAGATGGGGTGGGGTACGTCAAGGAGGGTCACATTCTGGTCATTCGAAGTGGTCGACATTAAAGGGCAAAGGGCGCCGCGGACGCCAAGCGGGGCGCGCTGTTCACCAAGTTGGCGCGACAATATCTCCCTGGCGCCAAGGACGGCTGGTGGCGATCCGGATATGAACTTCCGCCTGCGGATCGCGGTTTGACCAGGCGAGGTCCAACAATATGCCGTTGGAAAAGCATCACCCGGGCCATCCGCGAGCCACCGGCGAGGGCGGCGAGGGCATGGAGGACCTGGCTGAAGTTTACCTACGAGGGATATGGTCCCAACGGCGGCGCCATCCTGGTAATGGCGCTGACCACCAACCGCAACCGGACCGCCTCGGAAGTGCGGTCGGCGTTTCAACAAGGGCGGCGGGAACCTGGGCGAATCGGGCTGCGTGGCTTGGAACTTTGACAGCCGGGGCGTCATCACCCTCGAGGTGGCTGACGAATCCGTGGCGGAAGAGTTGATCCTGACCCGCTATCGACGCCGAGGCGAGGACGTTGAATTCGAGGACGGCACATCCGGAGGTGTACACGTCCCCGGAGAACCTGCTGTCCGTCAAATCCGCCCTGGACGGAGAGGGGGGCGCGGCCCTCGTCCGCCGATGTGTCAATGGTGCCAAGACAGTGATCCCGCTGGAGGACGGGCGGCGGAGCAGACTTTGAGGCTGTTGGACAGCCTGGAGGAGGTTGGCCGACGTACAGAAGGCGTATACCAACGCCGACTTCCCGGAGGAAGTGCTGGAGCGCTACGGGTCTGCCGCCTGATGCGCGTTCTGGCCATGACCCCGGCAACGCTGCGCATGGGTTACGCGTCCTGGATGCTCATCCCGACCCGAGGCGGACGACTACGGTGTTGGTTGCCCTGCCGTCTTCGATGGCGATTGAGAAGCGTCTTTACCACTGCATACGCACATCCTCAACATGATCCACATATTCCAGCCCGATGCCATCGCGGTCGAGGATCCGTTCGTGTGGCCCGCGGTGAGCGGCGTTTGCAAATCGGCGTTGGCCATCGGGCAGGCGCAGGCGGTGGTGCTAATCGGCGCGGCCAGCCAGGGAATCCCAGTGCATCGCTACTCGCCAGCCGACGTGAAGATGGCGGTGGCGGACTACGGCCGGGCCACCAAGGACAGGTGCAGCAGAATCGCCGCTTCGAGACTGGGGTTGGAGAACCAGCCGGAATCGGATGCCGCGGAACGCTTGGCAGTGGGCCTGTGGCATCTGCAGCGGATGCAAGCCGACGAGCTGATGCGCGCGAGATAGCGCCGGGCCAGGAACTTTAGGCAGTGTGGTCGGCGTGCGCGGCGCGCTGGAAGCCGTTGGGCCGGATTGGGTCAACGTGCAGGTCGGCGGAATCACACTGCAGGTGTCCGTGCCGGCGTCGGATGTCGCGGGTCTGGCAGCGTGGGCGAGCAGGTCCGGCTGCACACCATCCTGCGCATCCAGAACGAGCAGCCGATGCTCTAGGGTTCGTGGACGCCGGAGCGGGGAGCTGTTCGGTGCGCTGACGGAGTCTCCGCATCGGCCCCGTTCGGCAATGTCCATTCTGTCGGAGTTGGGAGAAGAAGACGGTTCCGGCAGGCCGTGGCATCCGCGGATGTGGCCGCGTTGTCCAGGGCCCAGGGGGTGGGACGGCTTATCGCGCGCAACGGGTGGTCCTCGAGAATGCGGGGCAAATCGGCCCGACGCGATTGGCCGGATCGCCGGTTATCGCGGCGCGCGTGGTGGGTACCGCGCCGAGGCCGTTGAGGCGTGACCGCCTGGCACATGACGCTGGCCGACGCGCGGCAGGCTGTCGCCGGGCTGGATTGCCGAACGACGCGGCGGTTGAGGACCAGGTCCGGCAGCGCTACTGGCCATCGGAGGCCGGGTAGGGCGATGCCTTAGATTCCGGCAACACCATCGGACGACGGGCTATTCCGGCGCGGATGCCGGAGCCCGTGAGTGTCTGAAGCCCGGTGTTGACGGAGTGATGAAACGGAGGAAACCATGCCTGACTTCAGAGGTAGCGGATTTCGCGTGAGGGGCGACACGGAGCAGGCGGTGCAAAAGCTGTCTGCCGCGTTCGCGAGGGCCTGGATCACCAGACGCTGCTGGGCGTCACGGCAGCGGCAAGACCTTCACATGGCGACATCGGCAGGCGGTACCCATGAGCCCACCATCGTCATCGCGCACAATAAGACCGCTGGCGGCCAGCTGGCCCAGGAGTAAGGAATTTTCCCGCCCCCCACCGCCCCCCCGTGAAACATTCGTCCCGACTACGATTACTACCAGCCGAAGCGTACATCTCCGCACACCGACACCAAATCGAGAAGGGACAGCAGCGTTAACGAGGAGCTGGACAAACTGCGCTCGCGTCCACCACCTCGTTGCTTACCCGGCGGGAAACCCTGATCGTTGCCTCCGTGGTCGTGCATCTACGGTCTGGGCGATCCTTTCGGACTAGTTCGAAATGGTCGCGCACGTGCAGGGGCGAGGAATACAACCGCCGGGCGCTGCTGCGTCAGTTGATCGACATGCACGCACACGAGCGGCAACGACACCGACACTGGCGCGCGGCAGGTTCACGTTGCGCGGGGGACACGCTGAGACATCGCCCGGCATACGAGGAATCGCGGGCCGAATCCAGTTCTCGCGGAACGAGATCGAGCGTATCCTGACCCGTATCCCGGCCAAGCAATTCGGGGAAAATCCGAGTGTAGAAACGAAGGGCTTACTATGCACTGGCGAGGCGGGGTAGAGGTCCGGTTGGGGGCACAAGAAACTCTTTCTTTCACGTGCGCCCACCCCACGCACACCGCCCCACATACTCCATTTAACAACTAAAATACTCCAATAATATATTACTAGACTTTTAATGTATCAACCATCCTTAAACCCTCACGCCCTGTAGAGCCCCCGTGGAAAACGTCATATAGACCCGCCCACTAGCCCACCATCCCTCGGGCACGGTCCCAGACTCGTTCTCAATTTCTCCATGGATCTATTTAACAACCTATATCTCGAACGCCGACTACTACCTACCGATGTAATCGTAATGACAGCAACTCAAAAAAACTGCTATTAGGATTCGTTCCCCGGAAGAAAAAAATAAAAAATACGTCTAACGGAAGATTCCAACGACAAGGACCGAACGACAAGTGCAGAAAGGACAAAAAAAAAGAAACGGACAAAAGAACAGAGGTAGAGAGGGAAAAATGCTAATCCTACTTCTGCCCATGTAAAGGCTCACTCAACTACAATCCCCACATACGTCAATCAAACTCATACCCAAACCACCGATTGAAACGCGCCTTCAATGACCCACAAGACAGCCTAATCCACTGAACCTCTGGCAGCAAAAGGAAAATAAACAACTAATCCCCTCGCATAACCTCCCTTACACATCACCTTGAACACAGTAAACGGGCGGGGCCGGGGACACTCCACCCGTGACAATCATCCACTGCTGCACATCCCTCTAACAGTCCAAACACCCGGGGGGGATGGGGCGACTATGCCCGCGACGCGTAGCGCCCCGCGGCAACGGGTGGACTATGCAAACTAAATACATCCCAACAAACCTACTTCCCTCTCACACAAACTTGCCTACCGGCCCCCTCTCATACCAACCCCTATGCCTCAACCCCACAGCACATCCAAGACCCAACTTATGAAATCATTCCCTCGACCTAGACCATCCCAAACTCTCAACATAAAGAACACCACGTAAACATACTCACCCCCCACCAACCACTCAACTTGGGAAGCCGCGCTGATCGACCCATCGACGCCGAGATGAAAGAGCGCGCGTCGACTGGTCGGCGCAGGGCAAAGTTGCTGGAAGAGCAAAGCGGAGCAGCTGCACCCGCTACGACAGTGTGGAGATGCTTGAACGAAACGGCTTCTGCCCGGGCGTCGAGAAAACTACGCGCCGCGCGGCAACTGGAACTGCGAAGATGGCCGGCAGACCGCCGTGGGACCATGTGGACTACTTCCCCGACGATCTCTCCTGATGATTGTTCGCGACGAGTCCACATGACGCTGCCGCAAGTGCGCGGATGTACAACGGGGACATCTCCGCAAGACCACGCTGGTGGAGTTCGGGTTCCGCTGCAGTCGGCGCTGGACAAACGGGCCATGCATTTCAAAGAGTTCGATGGACCAATTTCAACATTAGGGTGGGTGTAGTGCTGTTTGGTGTTTGTTGAGGGAGAGAGAGGGGGTTCAAAGGGAGGGAAAGAGGGAGCGGGGGACGAACGTGGCCAACCAGCAACGCGCAACGAGCGCTAAGCGGCACCGCGCCATAGTGGAGCAGGTTATCCCCCCACGGCACTGCTGGACCGACCATAGAGGTCAAGCCCACGACGGGCAGATAGAAAGACCTGCTGATGAAATTCGCCAGCGCCTGGAAAGCCAGGAGCGCGGCTGGTGAACCACGCTGACAAAGAGCATGGCCGAGGAAGGGAATGGCCCGACACCTGTCGGAGGCGCAGAATCCGCAACCACTTACTGCACTTCGGATTATATCCAACTTGAACCGGGGGGATTACTGCGCGATTACGTCTGAGGATCTACGCTCATCGTGGGCATATAAACTCGCGGGAGGGCCTCGACCTGCCGAAAGTGAGCCTGGTGGCGATCCGGGACGCCGACAAGGAGGGTTACCTGCTGTCAACACTTCGTTGATCCAGACCCGTCGGTTCTCGGCCGCCCGACACGCTTCCGGGCACGTCATCATGTACGCCGAAGGGGTGAAAAAAACACGACTCGATTGCAGGAGAAGCATCGACGAGAACCTACCGGCCGGCGTGCGATTATCCAGGGTGAGCACAACGAGCGAAAAAGGCAATCGAGCCGCAGTCGATCCACAAGGCCGTCCGGGACCATAACCGAGGGCCTGCGCGGAGTCGCGGAGACCAAGGCCCTCCTACAGGGTGGAACGGGGGAGGATGTCGCCACGACGGCACATTGTACGGGTGCTAAGGACCTGGAGTTCAGATGAAAACGGCCCGCCGTTCCTGGAGTTCGAGAAGGCGGTCCCAAACATGAAAGTTTTGTTGAAAGAGAAACTGTTGCTAAAGGCACCCGGCCAGAGAGGCAGATTACTCACGAGGGGAGACAGGGGGAGAGTGAGAGAGAGACATGTTTAGCTGAGCAGCGATGATGTGGATGTTGTCGGTAGAACCCTCAAAACGAGGTCGAGATCCCGTAACATCGTGCCAGCTGGACGGGATAGCTGAGCTGGGCGTGGCCATTTTGGGGTGACCAAACCCCTTCATGTTGAAGGCGGAGACTCTTACGAAGTATCGGTCACCCTTGAGGAAGGAAGATGGAGAGACCGGAAAGAGGAATTGAAACTAATAATCTCTCTCACAAGTGGTAGCGTGGCCGAGCGGTCTAAGGCGCTGGTTTAAGGCACCAGTCATTTCGATGGCGTGGGTTCGAATCCCACCGCTGCCAACTTTTTCTCTTTTTACCATTCTTACAATTCCTGATTCATTTCTGGAGCTAATATTTTCTTCATGAAATGAAGTCACTCACATGCATGCTACAAGAGATTGTAATAATGAAGAGGAGTTTCCTTTTATGTAAAAGTAATCTCCTATAATAATACCTTCTGCCTATATACCTTGTTAAGGTCTGGGATGATGTAATCGCTGGTACGAAGGTCGGTGAGTACAAACTCTCCAACAATTGGGGAGAACTGATCACTTCCCTGGCACCACTCAACTGAGGAACACATACACAACAAAAACTTTGTGAGTTCTATGCTACTAATGAGAACCAAGTTACAAAGCAGACGTGAATATCGATACCCACGTTGTATAATTGGTGTCCAAATCCCCTCCATCCATTTTAACACTCAGAGGTTTATATCTCTGTGAACTGAGAACACTGCCCAGAGCCACCATATGCTCCCTAAGGCTCTGAATACAGTCCATAGCTAATGTAGTGGTTTCATTCACTGCCACTTTCTACTTCCCCATCGACAACTACCATTGTATTAATGTGAGGGTATTGTACAGTAGCTATATAGTAGGGGGCTAACTCTTGTAGCGAGAGATGGGGGCTCCATTGTATTAATGTGAGGGTATTGTACAGTAGCTATATAGTAGGGGGCTAACTCTTGTAGCGAGAGATGGGGGCTCCATTGTATTAATGTGAGGGTATTGTACAGTAGCTATATAGTAGGGGGCTAACTCTTGTAGCGAGAGATGGGGGCTCCATTGTATTAATGTGAGGGTATTGTACAGTAGCTATATAGTAGGGGGCTAACTCTTGTAGCGAGAGATGGGGGCTCCATTGTATTAATGTGAGGGTATTGTACAGTAGCTATATAGTAGGGGGCTAACTCTTGTAGCGAGAGATGGGGGCTCCATTGTATTAATGTGAGGGTATTGTACAGTAGCTATATAGTAGGGGGCTAACTCTTGTAGCGAGAGATGGGGGCTCCATTGTATTAATGTGAGGGTATTGTACAGTAGCTATATAGTAGGGGGCTAACTCTTGTAGCGAGAGATGGGGGCTCCATTGTATTAATGTGAGGGTATTGTACAGTAGCTATATAGTAGGGGGCTAACTCTTGTAGCGAGAGATGGGGGCTCCATTGTATTAATGTGAGGGTATTGTACAGTAGCTAGTAGGGGGCTAACTCTTGTAGCGAGAGATGGGAGCTCCATTGCTGTGGAGCGGCTCACAGAACCTGACAGTCAGAGAGCGACTGGAGGAGACATGCAGGGTCACCTCACTCGGAGGATCCGGGAGCTCTGGATAGAAAAAAGAAGGGGAGAGAGAAAAAGGGCGGGGTGTATATTAGCAAGGTCCATAGCATAAGTCATGGTTGTGAAATCTATGTGCTTATAAGCCCTCGGGTGCTTTACGTTAGAGTCCTCGGTGCACACCGAACACCACAATGGGGATTGTAATGAGCCTTAATATTAAAAAATCATCTCATTCTTGTTAAGCATGACCATCCTAGCCTCAGACACTGACCTGCACTCTCATAGTTTGCTTTCATCCGTTTGAAGAGATGAGCTCTCCACTCCTGTCGCTTCAGTCTTCGTTCCATGTCGCGGACGACGCTGCTCGACCCTCCGCTGGAGTTCTGAACCACCACCTCGTAGCGGAGACTGTCCAGTTCCCGTTCCGTCTCCGAGAGCAGCGTCAGAATGACACGGAATCTTGAGAACGGATCTCTCGAGACTAAAGTGACAGAAATATCAATATTTATGTCATGATGCTCTCTTACTCTTGGTTACCTTAGTGCTAGCTCAAACATTGCTAAAATCTGTATAGTTGCAGCAATGATACTTGCAGTTATGAAGAACAGCAAAATATCAACTGAAAGTGGTACATTCTTAAGGATGTGGAAATTTATTTTCCTCGAGTTTCAGTATTGAGTTGAGTCTCAACTCACATCGTGTGCTGTCTCTGGCCCCCTTGGACAGGAGCAGCTTGGCGATGTCATGGTGACCCAGCATGGCGGCCAGGTCCACCAGGGTAAAGTCATCTTCACTGGCTCTGCATCACAAGAGAAAGAAAGTTCTAGAATTAATGTTTAGAAGAGAAGAAGAGAGTAGTGCATGCCACATCATTTTTGATGGTAGCAGAATCTGGTCATCACTGTCCAATGATGGTGTAGCTCTGGAGTTTAATACATGGAGCTCTGACAGTGTGCATGTCATGCTGTCATAGCTCACATGTTGAGGTCTGTGACAGAGTTGCTCTCAAGAAGCTGCTCAACTCCGTCGAAATTCCCCTGCTCCACAAAGTCCAACAGAGCTGCATGTGTTAGAGACACACACTCACAAGTGGACACATGGATTCAGTAACTAGCAAAGGAGTAGTACGTGTTTGTTACTCACTTTCATGAACATCTGCACTCAAGTTTCTCTTGCTGCCAGACCTGAATACAGCATGAACTGTGTGTGTGTGGGGATGTATAACACCGCGTGTGAGTAACAGTAGTAAGGTATTGAAAACACTCTGTTCCCCTTGAAACCCTTCACCACAGTTTTAGCCACAGATGAAGGATTGAACAACATATCAGTTACACAGAACTTCTCTATACAACTGATGAGCCCCGTCATAAAAGGTTTGAACAAAGCTATCAGTTTGCATTCTAGAACTAGCAGGCCTCTAACAAGGAGAATGGGCAATGAGATATTGTTCTGGGAGCTGGAGGAGGGACTGGTGGGAGAGGGGAAGTCTTTTGGCCTCTGTGGACATCACATGAAGACCAGGCACAACAAATGGATTCACATTCACACAGTAGTAAGTCAAGGGAGACATATTGCTTTGGGTCCCCTACAAATCACTAAGTAGGTAGTCTTTCTGTTCCTGAGATGATTTCTCAAGAGTCAAAGTCTAACTACCTTTTCCTGCATTGAGTCAGTTTTCCTGTGTAGCTACACTTACAGCTATATAGGGTCGCTAGCTAACACTTGTAGTGAAGACTTTATAAGGGGAAACTTGTGAATGCCAGAGAAAACCTTTGCTATTAACTTGATTAGTAGGGGTTTAGCTAGTTATCACAGAGGTGTTTACTCACGTCCTCCGAGGCTGTCAGGGTCAGGCTCAGCTGACCTCTGGCGAGATCGCGACGAGGCCCGGGACATCTTGGGGGTCCCGTACGGAGTCCCGTAAGGGGTCCCCGAGCTGGGGGGCGGGGTCCCCTGCGATCGGTACCACCCGTCGTCTTGACCACGCCCCTCGAAATAGTCGGGACTGTACCTATCTGTGAGACTGTTCTGTCGGTAGTGGGAGCTGCGAGAGAGGAACAGAAACTCAGTAAATCATTCTAGAAACTTTCTTCCTGTCTTATTATGCGTTTTCCTACCATAATCCATAAGCCATAATCTCTACATCTCATCATTGGTAAAGTTTTAAACTTTATAAAGTGAAAGTGTCATTATATGCCATGTGGTTTTGGACCACATGTTATAATTATTATGTATATAACCTCCAGATGTTGGAACTATTACTGTCAGTGCGGTGGTCATTATTACAGGGCCTACCCGTCGAAGCTGGTCTCCAGGTGAGATGTGCTCATACTCTTCAGCTTCTTCTGCTGCATCCTCGGAGTGGGGACCTTGAGGCTGTGGTTGGCACTCTGGACCAAGTCTTCCCGGACACCCTCGCCCTCTCCTGAGGTCGGGAGGTCCTCCGAGGAGTTGTGAGAGTCCGGTTTCACGGAGGAGCCACGGCCAAGTCGGCGGGCAATCTTGGAGATGATTCCCCCGGTGGAGCTCTTGCTGCGCTGCTGTCCCCTGTTGGCCATGCAAGAGAGACACACTTCATAGTCGAGAATGTGGAGTCTGTGTTCGCAGTTGGAGTGAGTACTGCGAACACTGCTGTTTGAGCGTGTCGAGGGAGAAGGGCTGCGCTCGTAGCTCATGCTCTTTCGTCTTAACAGAGAAGTCATCGTTGGGAAAGAGAGTCCAAACTAAAACAGCTGGCTAATGATCTAAACAGAGGCTCTATAATGATACCAACTTCACAAGACCTGTGACAGAGATTACTGCAAAAAACCTGTGCTTTATATATACTAGCTAACTAGACTGGGGAAGTTTCAACTGCTATACTGCAGACTGAAGCAATGCTATGCCGTATTATAGTGACTTTGGGGGTTTGCATGAGTGTGAGGAGGAAAGGATGTATACACATGAGCTTCTCAGATATCTACATAGTCTTTGATGTGGGCCAACAGGTATGCTCATTACTGACTCTTAGAGCGCCAGTTATTGGCCGTTTGTGGCTACAAAGTGTAGACCACAGCTAGCTTCCCTTCCTGACTTAGCCAAGGCAATATCCTGTGAACAAGGCAGTGTTTCTCACAGCAATTTAATAAAGCGGATAGTAATGTCGCCACAGAAGGATATGCTGTCTCTATTGTAGTACTTTTTTGTATGGCTAGGTATACTTCAACAGTTCCATGGAATTGTTATGCTGAGTCTCTAAAGACAAGAAGGGGTTGAACACAGGGGGTTAAAGCAGTTTCGCTCTTTTGTTGGGTAAATAAATAAAATTTCATTAATACTTCCTGCGAGTGATTGAGTGAGTTCAAGAGAAGATTGAGTTTAGAAAGGCTACTGATAAGATGGTTTGGCATTGGAGTTGGCGACATATTGATAATCAAAATTGCATCTGGCTAACCCGATCCAGCTAGTTAGCCGGCCCAGAAACACAGATTTAAAAAAATAGATCTGATCTGTATTGGTATCAGATTAATGTACCTATCGAACGAACTTTACAAGTATAATGTACGTATTAATCTTAATTACTCACTTGTTTTTGCGGATGACACTCTCAGAATCACTCTGTGTGGAGAGAAATACCAGGTCATGGAGTTCAACTGTTTTGTTAACCAAATCGGAGTTTTAAACTCTAGTCCCATGCAATGCTCTTTGGCTTTTAGCAGTTACAAGAAATGAAGGAAGAGTCAACCAAAAGTACAGGTGTACTGGCTAGAGACTAACTGTGCAGTGTTTTCAAACTACCAGTAGGGACACATATTACACTTTGGCTTTTAGCAGTTACAAGAAATGAAGGAAGAGTCAACCAAAAGTACAGGTGTACTGGCTAGAGACTAACTGTGCAGTGTTTTCAAACTACCAGTAGGGACACATATTACATACTGTCCAGAGCCAAGTGTTTAACTGTGGAACGAATGACCATTGGAAAGGGACAGCCCTAGAATCTTCTCTGCAATGTGATTAGCACTAGGTGCGGTGAGTGGAGGAGGTGGTGGGGAGAACCACAAGGTTCTCGTTCTATTTGCAGAGGCTCCAAGACCCAATGTGATTTTGGTCAGTCAGGATTGGGTTAGCTTCCCATAATAAGAAGGTCTTGGGGCAAGTGTGGTCCGGCCACACCTTCGGTAGCTAACTGGCTGTCTCACTCCTGCTTATGGTGGCTCCAAGCCTCGAGAACTAAACAAGGAGGGGCCGATGCCATCCTGCCAAGATCTGATTGCACGCTCAGTGGATGCGAATCTTAATCGTATCTCAGCCTTGCCACATACTGGGGTGTATAGCGTATGCAAATCATATTGCATTAGCGCTAAATGGGCCCTGTGGGGACATGGGTTATGGCAGCCCGAAATCGAGTTAGTCTATTCAGAGTTGGAAAAAAGGACAGCGCACCGAGACTTGTCAAAGGGCTAGCATCAGCGTAGCACACAGACTACCAAATTCACTCATATCTAAACCACGCATGCAGACATCCAAGTGGAAGCCTCAAATATGGGACAATCCTTTTGGATACTGAGAAATAAATCTTCCTCCTGTGCCACATGCAGGTCCACCCCTCCCTTTGCCTCTCTCCTGGTCTATCGTACCTTTGATCTGCATACCTTGGTCCTGCGCTCCCTTTCTCTCCCCGAGACCCTCTCCTTCCCTCTTGATCTCCCGGACACTGTCAGCTTTTCGCAGCTCTCCTGCGGGCTGACCTGGCTGACTTGCTGCGTGCGAAACCGACCAAACTTTCTCGGGAGGACGGACTTGTAGCTGGATCGCGACCCAGTGTTCCTCCGAGGGACATTGTTACAGCCCATGTCCTCGTCCTCACCTTCCACCTCGTCAATCTTGATGCTAGGGAGGTTGAAGAGCGAGCGGTTCATCTTGGACCCGTACATCTGGCCCAGTGCAGCGTCGCAACTGATGGAGAAATTTTGCTTCAGCATTTTGTCTCCACCCATCATATCCTGATCAGAAACCCTCGACCAAATTTTGCAGTTCACTTTTGCTCCTTTCTCAGCTGCAGAATATCTCCAATAATTCTTTCTGAGGTTTAACTGCTACGGTTTCTTTGACCTTCCTTAGTTTTCTCTCTAAAAGTGTCCTCCGATAGTAGCTACGGTGATTCCAGCGGCTTGCCTGTAACGTTGCGTTGTGTTGCGTCAGTAGAGTCAAGTCAGTTCGGTTAGAGTCACTTTTTGAGCTGTTCACCGACTCAGTTCCTCATATCACACGAGAGAAGATGGGTTGCAGAAATCAACAGAGAGTTAATAGATATAAAGCCGTGACTACGTAGCTTTGGAAGCTGGTCCTATAATACGCAGCCTTTGCAGATGTGGTTCCTAGATCTCTTGCAGACTACGTGCAACTGCACACTGCAATTGCGTCCAGCTATTTATACTCTGCCAAAGTTGCCAATAGTTGTGGTCAGTTGCTTGGACTGCCAGCGAGTCTACGCACATCCACCAAAACAACCAATTCCCCTCCTCTCAGGGGAAATGAACCTGCCACATATTCCAAGAAGGCTGCACGCCCAATACTAGTTTATCCTGCACGTGCCTGGGGTAGTGATGATGTCACATGATGTCACAGGTGGGCCCCAGGCCACTGCCACGGCAACGCCAGCCGGGAATGCCAAAAACAGCGAGCAGGGCTGGCCGGCCCGCATTCAAACTAGGAGGTAATTGACAGGTCTGAAATTAACCCTCCAGCTGTCCTTATCTGACTGGTAACCAACCAACTGGTACCGTTGCCTTTACGAGACGGGTTTATTTGATTAGCAGCGTTGGGTGGGGAGGCTGGGATCCGGGTGACAGCTTCGCTAGTCCACAACACGCAGCACGCAGCATAGTCACAAGTCACAACACTGACCTCACTCCAGACAAAACCTATTATCATACGTCTCTGAACACCATCCGAACCACTCCACATTCTTATTATTCCTCTGCGCTCTTCTAATAGACCTCTGTACCTATTACCCCCCTGATTCTTGTATTACACTGGCCAACACAGATGACACAAGTCTCTAATTACTGCTGAGCCACCCTTGATGCCTTCAGGTTTCTGAGTATCGAGCAATGCGGCCAACGTGTTATTGGATTGAGGCACACAACAAAGCCAGAGGTGCAGATAGAGGGACACAGCGTGCCAAATAAAGCATGCGGCAGTTTGTACCTCTGTTTACTGACCCTCTTTGATCCCAGGCAATTACGGAATCAGTTTTGTCGGTTAACACGTCTCCCTCATCGGATTTCCCCCGTCTCAAAGAAAGATGCCGTGTACTCTACATGTCCGGGCCGATTGTTGTCTTCATCTTGTTTCCCTGATTGGATGAGGCTTTGCGGTGGATCCAGGACCTCCTTGTGCCCCCCCGCCACAAGTTAATCAGAAGTCGAATCTGGTTTGGCCAACCTTGTGCCCCATTTAGCGGGAAGATTACTCCACGCCCGTTAACGTCAGGTCACTTATTGGATGTAATTCGATAATTACGCAGGAAAGATTTTACACACACTCTCTCTCTTTTCTCACTCCCTCTGGCCTTGTTTTCTTATTCAAACCTCCCCCCCCCCTCTCTCGATCTTCTCCCTGCACAATATCCAATCAATCATACCTGTCCTCCTGTGTCATCTGAGCTTGTCTCCTCCTCAAGACCGTTGTTGGTGGGGGTGTGGCAGATTACGCGCCCCTTTTCGTCAGCTGGACTGGCACTGCGGCGGCTGCTAAACTTGGCCGGCGCTTGCTTCTCCTCCAGAATGTTACCTAACACGGGAACACGGATCTCAGCCCAGTCTCCCGTTCCTTCTCTTTCTCTCGTGAATGAAAACCTCCAATCCAACTAGACACACGGCTAATCCAATGGAACAGCTGTCACACAAACCTCAAGCCACCCTGTAAACAGTCTAATTCAGGCTAATTCAGTGTCGAAGCAATCTTTCCCAACAGCATTGGTGCAATACATTATGTAATATGACACAATCAGAATGCTGAGCAACGGTCTATTATGCATGTTGATTTGTCTTATTACCATTCACTCTATCTATAGTATTGGTACCCTTTGTGGGACAGTAAAAAAACACAATAAGCATTCTCAGTGTGAGTCATTCCCTAAGAAAACCTTTGTAAATTGAGAAGTTTGAGAACCATCTCATAATCTTCTTCGCAAAATTTTGCAAGTTTCACCTACTCTACAACACTAATGCAGGAGCTGAAGCAGTAGCGAAGTAGCTATGTGAGCCAAATGCAATTGTAGTCCAAAGTATTACCTACTCTAATTGTTAAAGCTCACCAGTAGAAAATCTCTTGTCGGGATGAAGGGAATCTCTAGACACTCTTCTCTCCACTTCATTTTCTCTCCCTCCTCCTCGTCCTCCTCCTCCTCCTTCTTCTTTCACCTTGTTGTTCACGTTCCATCGGAGTACGGGATTGGGGGAGCTTCGCGTCCGAGCTCGGTGTGGGTGTGGCGAGCTCATTGGGCGAGGTCGCTGCTTCTTCTGTGGCGGCTTTACCTCCGAGGAGAAGACTGAGTCGTGCTGTTGTTCTTCTTCTCCACCGTCAGAGGTGTTGGAGAGACGACGATGCTCCGACATCATCTGATCGACATCGAATCCCTTGTGAGGAGGGGAGTCTTGTGCGGTGACTGGATGGACCTATACAGGCACACAGAGATTCATATGGCTCAGTAGCTATACATTGGGGTAATAACGGTTCACTGGCTATCTGACATAGATAGAGAGGGGCTCAATGCCGCGGACACTCAGTAAACACATTATGTGAGAAGCGTGTCCCTGCATTTGTTACCGTGAGCTTTGGCTCAAATGCATTGACAAGGCTTAATGACTCATTGAGCATTTCATTGGCAAGACATGTTTCATAATGGCACAATGAGAGGGAAGTGTGCAACTTTTTCTTCGTTTTTCTGGCTTAAGGTGAGCATAAGATGAATGTAGAGACAAGCCTTGGCTTCCTTTACTGCGTTACACGTGTGGTCTCAAGTGCCTGCATATGTTGCACACTTTGTTTTTCAAAAATTGGCCGTGCCGCCGATCACTGAGTGTACTGGAGCATGCGCCGGCACACGCCAGCCCCACGTCTGACAATGACACGGGGGTAAACGCAATATACATGTTAATTTTTGGCCGCCCTGCTTAATAGCAACATATCCAATTGGCTCATAGGTTAAAGGCTAAATTTTCCCATAATCACCGTCACAATACACATCATATAGATTATATACCTGTGCCTGAATATAAGAGAAGGTCCTAGTGGGGCATTGCCAATGGCTACCCGACTCGGGGGTCGGAGTTCGTCTCATGGGGCGTGGCAGGGACTGAGTCATGTGACTATTTGTCCCGGTTTCCACGGAAACAGCGGCTGCTCCGTCGGACTGTCCTTTGACCCACTCTGCGACTCGCTGTTGCTGCGTTGCTAGGATCTTCCGACTCTCGCGTCTCTGGTCATGCGACCGATGTTTCTTATCCAGCGTCGTATTGTGGGCGGAGTTGCCGGAGCCCTCCGGAGCAGTGGGTGTGGTCACTTGCTGGGGGTGTCTGTCCCCCACAGGCAGGGACCAGTGGTTGTACGGCACGCCTGTTTCACCAACCTCTGACAACAGACAGTTTCATTACTGAACCTCTTTAGGAACAAATCTCTAACGGGACAAAGTTGTGTATTTACACTCCAGCCAAGGCAACACGTTAGTTTAGAGCAAAGATGTAGCAGACTCCTCAGCTTCGTATATATTCAGATGACTTATTCTGAATGCTAAGTTTGGAAACAGCATATTTATGGTGGTGTCTTTGTTGCATAATACAATTTTACAGATTAATCCTTTCTGCGTAACTAAAGATAATGAAAATATTATTACAAGATTCCATATACCTTGACGATACGAGGAAGAGGAGGAAGACTGTGAGGCAGTGATGGTGTGATGGTGTGAGCAGTGATGGTGTGATGGTGTGAGGGGAGTGACGAGTGAAAGTAGTGACGAGGGATTCTGGTGGAGAAGAGAGCCTCGTCAACATGTCCGCTCGGTCTCCCTCCCCTCCCCCTCCCTCCCATCTCCTCTTCCTCTTCCTCCAGCTGCCATGCATCCCCTGGAAAAACACACAGTGTCGGGAGTCTATAATTAGGTTTCATTACATCATCTTATTCTAAAAGTAGATGCAAACACGTCAATTGAGTAGCAATTGAAGCAGTATCTTATAAGAACACAAATGCAATATTCATAAGTCTCAATATCATAGAATTTCCATATATATATACCTCTGTTTTTCAGTGGCAGTCTAATTGTTCCTACAGCAATTTCTTGACTGCAGGAATAAAAGAGAGAAGGAGAGAAGGGAGGTCTCATGCCGCCCATAAATACAATCAAGCAGGGAAGAATGACAGGAATCCAATTAGAAAAGAGACTGCTATGCTCACACTCACTGCCACAGCTATTCACGATGCACCCAACAGGACCTTAAGCTCCATGAAAATATCGCTGCGTCACACAACACAGCACTTCTCTAGGAATCCCAATCTACTGCAGTATTGTTCGGACCGAGTGTGATCGGGCTTAACATCCTGATTCATAATGGGAATGTGGCAGTATAGAAGGGCTGCAACTCATTGCCTAACTGTGCCCCTATTGTTCTTTTTCTTTAGTAACATTTCTAATTTTATATACTGCCACATTCCCTCTATAATCTTGATCAAAAAAACGGTTGAAATGTAACATGTGTGTTTGCAACATAATACGCAACGTGCATCATCTCTGCTTTCATACATACTTGTGTGCTATATCATGTGTTTCAAGAGAACAAAAGCATTGGGCAAGCAGTACATGCCACACAAAGAGGCAGCCTCGGTGTACTGAGCCGCGAGTTGATCAAACATACAGGCTGTTGGGTGTAGTGTGCTTGGGTTCCTAGGCCGTGCAACACTCACACCGTCAATAGAACAGTGTGCGTTTCCTGATGTGTAAGCAAGCTCTTCCGATAACCTAAGACAACTGACAACACAGAGCTTTCACACCAACAGCATGTTCTACATACCAGAGCCTCAACGTCATACCAAATTTTTCGTACTTTGTTAAACTTTTCTTTGTCATACTCTGTTTGCTATTTGCTAGCAGCTCTTAATTGCAAACTTGGGTCACCTTTGGAGTGCTAGGATTATTCTGCATGTAAATGGCCAAGAATTCCGACGTATTACTTAGAGGTACGGCAATACAATTAACTCTGTGTTAATTCCAAGTGAAATTGGTGCGTGTGAATACTGTTAGTGCGATTTCACAGTAGTGAGTTAAGAGGGTCATTGACAACCTCTGGCCTAGCTGCTAGGTTGGCATGCATACTTACATACGAGCCGCTCTCTGAATTACAGGGGTGCCCTTTGGCAGCTAGGGCTCAGAGGGTGTCAAAGAGGGAGGCGGTACAAGGAGGGGGAGGGGGAGAGGCATGTCCACTTATGGGGCATTGCAGGACTCAGTACTGGCAGTCACATTGCACTTACGTATGTATATACCAGCTGGGAGTCAACCAAGGCGTATGAGGTGTTTACATTTCCAGACGGAAAACATGGCCGACAAGAAGTGACTTTATGGGCGGCAGAGGAATGTGACCCAAGTGTGGAGCCTTGGCCAAGATTAGGAGCAAATGACAGAAGGTGGAAGGAATGCGTGCATGGAAACGTATTCAAACATGTGCATTGGTCCCCAGGTTTGGCTTACAAACAAGAAGTGCAGGGCAGAGCAGTTGCCAAAGCACGAGTGTTTCAGACAATTAGTGGAGGAAGGAGACGGGAAAGAAAGAGAAGTGAGAAGGGGCGGGAGCCAGCCAGCACTCACACACTTACCCGACCATTAGCAAAACCCTACACACTCAGCACTGAGATTATTTCATATTGCTGAGTTAGATCTTTGAACTCAGCCAGAGCTCATTGTATTATAACTGCCACTGTCACATTATGGCAGCCCATGGCTAAAAGTGACTGCATTATAGACAATTGAAGGAAGAGACTGCTAAAAGCAACACAACAAAAGCCTGGCTAGACCACATTACAGGGTCTGGATTTTAGACAATACACTGGGAAACCCTTCAGTCTCAACAGCCCTGAAGCAATTGTCCACAATAATAGTACCAGGCTGCTTAGACAAACACCCTCTTATATACCTCTGTCTCAATTGTGGATCTGGTGGAGTCCCTCCACTCCAACTAGCCTGGGACCTGGCATTGCTCAAATGAACCTCTGTGCCTGCAGAAACACCTGTGCTGCTCCCTCCCCTGAGTTGAGGGGTAGGATGGCAGCGGCCGCTACCTGTGCTGTTTGTCAGGCTCTCCTTTTGAAAAGAGCCCCCTCCACCAGTAGTGAGAGACTGTGTGGACCTGTGCGAGTTTGGAGAGAGGGGAGAGGTGGTCACGGAGTGCGCTCTCCCCTGGTGCACCTCGCTTCCTCTTCCTCCGGCTCCCCTCGGTGTCCCCTGGAAACTGCCGCGCCGAACAATCTTCTTCCTCGAGTCGGTCGTGTTGTTCTCCTGGGAGGACTGGTGGGTAGTTCTTCTCAGAGAGTTCAACTTAATGTCTGGGCTACTGACTCTTCTCGCAGGGCCACCACCACCACCACCCCCACCCACCCCCACTACCTGTAGTTCTGGGCTTGGAACCTCTCTTGTGCTGCAGAGGGTGGTACATTGGCTGCGGCAAGAGGTTCCCATAGCTCGAGAGACTGTGGCGATGGATGGGCTGCTGTGTATGAGGAGAAGGTGACGGTGCAGCTCTTGATGCAGTCTGTGGCTCCCTGCATGTGGGTGAGAAGGCATGGAGGAGACTCTGTCTACAGACTCCACTGGCTGTGTAAACAGAATCTGGAGTATACTACGACGGTGCATAGCTAGAGCATGTGGGCGGCCTAGTCTTGCACCCAAAACCAGCTACACCCTTTACAGTTTATGCAACGTCAGTCTTGCAGCAATTATGGAAGCAGAGACTCCAATTTTATGGCACGCTAGCAAGGTCTATTGTATATACCGCTTCTAATGCAGTGAATGCAAGGAACGTGCAATCTATACAACTTTGCTACCAACTGCCCGCTAACTACTAAGACTGGGGGCGCTGGATGCAGGAGCGCGCCGTGACTGACGAGCACTCACGGATGAGTAGGGGGCGGCGGGGTAGACTGCGGGCGCGGCATCACGGGCCTCGTCTCGCTTCTCTTCTGCATCTCCGCAGATTTCCACACCGAGCCAGTGCCGCTGGTGGGAAGACGGTTCTACTGGAAGATCAAGGCTCGCCAGCTCCAGAAATTGATGATGAGCTCCGCGAACCCCGCCCCCCTCCGTCGCAGCGACAAAAACGGATCGGAATGGAGACTTGGTAGGCGCGCATGCGCACGTACTATATCCACGCGCGCGCGCGCGCACGGTAAAATCACAAAGCCGCAAAACCCCACGCGCCGCACAGAGATCTGTTTCGCGCTTCTATATAACAGGATCGCACTGGTATGCAGTTTTCATTAGGGAAAAACTTTGCATCAGCTTCCTCTTTTTCCCTCCGCAGATTTGCTCCAATGGAATACTCCACGTTGCTCCTGATATTGACGGCTTCGTTTTGCCTGCTTTCTCTGCCGTCCAGTGCTCTCAAATGCTGGCAGAATTCTGACTCCACTGCTGAGATAGACTGGTCCATCAAAGAATGCAACACATCCAACAACGAAACTGCCTGCCTGGCACAGTATCGTCTGTACAATGGATGCCCACTGCCTTCCTTTTACGGCTGTCACACACCCAAGATGAGGAGCATCTATTCCTGCAACCCAACCGAAGGACAGGACTCTGACTATAGCTGCAGCTGTTCCAGCGATCTCTGCAACTACTTTGTCCCTCACACCCCGGACCCCATCCCACCTGGTATGAATGGTCAATTTTTCAACTCTTTCCAACAATGACCGTTGCTCTATGTTGCAGTAGTTCTTTCAGAGGTCTGTGCGGCTAAAGGTTGCTCCCAAAACTGCATTGAGCACAAGGGGATAGCCAAATGCTACTGTAATGGAGGATACACTCTAGATGCAGACGGCATTGCCTGCAATGGTAAGGCAGCCATATCGCTAGAAATACTATGACATTGGTCACAAACAATCTTTGAAGCTGTTCATGACACTACCTGTTGGTTTTAGAACTATTGATTCATTAACCTGAAGAGGATGTCCGTGTATTAGGCCTACTCCAGACAGGAGACTGTGGCTTAAACCACATAGTATATGTCTCCTGCAATTCTTCAGATCTCGATGAGTGTGCATATAACAATGGAGGATGTGAGGGAACCTGCGTGAATCATATGGAAGGATACTACTGTTCCTGCCCCAATAACCAGAGGCTGAAGGACGGCTATCGTTGTGAAAACTGTAAGTTTTCCTTCTATAATGATTATTTATGTCACTTTTGCTCCCTCCACACCCTCTGTAGACAATGGACTCATATGTGCAAGTCAGACCTGCAACAACACAGGGTGCCAACAAAAGGGTGTTAGTTACTGTGGTGAAACAACAGGCCGCTCACAATATTGCCAGGTTAGAAGAAAATGTATTCCCCAGCCCATTGTATATATATACATTGGGTGGATTGTTACACCACTGCACTCTTACGTGACTCCACTGACAATAATTTGCTGTATAACTGAGGGTAAAGTAGTTAGCCCACCTGAACCGTGTCTACTGATGCCCAATGAGGCAATTTTATAGCCCCTGCACTGATCAAATTCACATTTAGGAATTTGTGACATTGGACATAACTTCCTCCATTCCTCACTTACAGGCCACCTACAAGCACAGTAAGGATAATGGGTACCAAGTGAGGCTGCTGAGCTGTTTTTCTGGTGATTTAGTATGCGAAAGAGGTAAACAACAAGGAGTATAAGTAAAGATCCTACTTATCAAGATAATTATTGTTTTTACTCTGCCATTATGTAGACAGCTGCACTCTTCGCCGAATCAACCCACTACTAGATGTGTACTACTGCTGTTGTTCGGGGAACATGTGCAATGACAACGTTCAGTTTCCAACTTAAACCCTGGAGTGTTGACAGCTCACCCACATCTCTGGTCATTCAATTTCAGCTGCAAAACTTTATAGCTACACATTTTTCTACATGTTCTTGTGATATTATATGTTCCAATTTGCAGTAGTTTAGGAAAAGGTTTGTGCTGCAGGCTTTGTCAAGACCGATACGAATTATTTCCAGCTGCATGTTCAACCACAGGTCATTCAGCTAATCACATGAGATATGGAAGGAAAGTGGGTAATTACAGTGCTAATGTCAACATTTATTTTCCCACACAAAGTTTCGAGAGAAGAGACGCCAGTTCTGCAACCGAATCACAGAGAGTAATGTGAAAGAGCCTGCAATTATAAACCACCAATTAGTCGCATTACGATAACGAATGATAGGAACAGGAAACATGATATGGTAGTAGTGTAAAGGTTGATGTCTGTGGTAACATGTCGGGCCTGTCTGGCGAATTTTGGAAGATGCATAACACCTGCTCCGAGCCTCCGACTCCACTCATAATTCAAAATTCCGTGCTAGTTGTTTTCATCAAAGAATCGTTACTTTTTCGAAGCGAGTCTAAGGTATCTAGAGCGTGCGTAGGACAAGACAGCAAAGGCCAGTCTAGTGATAATGAATTTCGGGGTCAAATTGGTGAGAGAGCAGACAATGGCGTGAGGTAGACAGCCATAAGTGGTTCCCTGGATTCCAATGGTACCGACAGCAGATTTGGAATAATCCGCACCTGTTGGCACGAAAATATTTCGTCTGATTTTGGTCATCTCCGTGGACACAAAGTGCGGTATCACGGTCTGAACAAGAATCCCGCGTCGAGAGTACTCCTCAGACAGAGCCTCAGAGAAAAAGTTCACTAATTTCTTTGTGGAAGAATAGAGCCCGAGAAGGGGTTGAGGGTGGGCGGAGCTGTATGAGGAGATGTTGATGATAGCACCACGTCCTCTGTCTACCATACGTGGCAGCAGGAGGTGGGTCATGTGAACCATCGCTTGACAGTTGAGCTCAATAATGTCCCTTGCTCTCTGCATGTCAAGCTCGAGGAAATACTGGGCATACTTGTGAGAGAGACCGACGTTGTTCACTAATAGCCCTATGTCCAGTTGATGAAGGGTCTCCCGGAGTGTTTCATACACGGCCGGGCCTCGGGTGAAGTCAACTGGAACGATCAGGGCATCTCGACCGTGGGTCTCCCTGATCTCACGCGCAACCTTCTCCAACTTTTCCCTCGAGCGACTCATTAGAACAACGTTCAGACCTCTCCGGGCCAGTTCCAGAGCGTACCCTCTCCCTATTCCCTCCGAGGCCCCCGTCACCGCGGCCCACGGGCCGTACACCCGGAGATCCACCAACCCGCCCCCCAAACCGAGGGGAACGAGAATGTAGGCGAAGATCCCGCCCCACAGCCCACTGAGCAACTGTATCGCTACCCAAAGAATGTATAACGTCCCAACCGCGGCACAAACGCTCCAAAAAATGTCGAGAAAACCGTCCATCTTCAGCTTGGAGATTGGGGCGGCCGATCTAAAAATCACGTGTTGCGCATGCGCATACAATTTGGCTGACTTCGCGCGCACGTACGTGTACGTGCGTGCTCGCTCAGCAGACTTCGCACTCTGAGAAGCACTCAAGGGGCGCACATCGTCTCCAAAGTTGTTATGACCCAGAAATCTCACTGCATCAACATCATCCACTACCTTAGAGCCACTTTCCTCGATTTTGCCACCGCTGCCACCGCTATCATGTCTTCTACCGCCTCTCCAGACGAGACCAGGAGTCGCACCCTGGGTGAAGCCGTGCAGTACGCCCTCCAAAACCCGGTCAAATTCGTCGCTCTAGCCACTCTGATTGTCACCGGAGCCGTACCGCTGGGCGCCTTCGTGCTATACGCCGCTGGAACCGTCGTGTGTACCGCCATCGCCGCCATAGTGTTGGACCTGGCACTGCTCACTTTCGGGGCGTTCGGCCTCGCCCTGGCTCTCTGCTTCGCGCTGTGCATCTCTGGCGGGGTGGCGGGCCTCTTTTCCGTCGTCTATTTCGGCTACAGGGCGGCGTTGGGGAGCGTCAACCAAGCCAGAGCCCGCCTCGCTCCCTCCACCGTCGCCTCGTCTTCCCTCGCCTCCGAGGACGCCGGCGAGGCGTTTGACAAGAGCAAGTGAGGCTCGCGACGTCTTTCCACGCGCACACACACCTTTTTCTTTTGATCACTGATCACCTCAGTAATTTTTGTCACTTGCAATTTTTTTTACATGTCAAGCATACAACAGTCTCAGTCACTGGTTTTCATGTTTTACAAGCAGAACTCACTTTTTAAAACGTTTTTTTCACTTCAAACTCAATCACCCCAAATGCAACAACACCACCCACCCACCCAGGAACAAGTTGACACCACCAGAAGCAGTCGTGCAGGATCTGGTAACCAGTCTGGCGACATTCCTGGACTACATGTCGAGTCTGACAGGTCGCGTCAGATGGTACACCAACATCACCACTTCCACCACAGCCAACAGCGCGGCAGCTGACGTGCCAGCTATTGAGGAAGAAGAGTGGTACAGTAGCTTATGGAGAAGCTCCCTAACTGTTTTTGTACTCGCTGCCGCCATTTCCTTCATGTCCTACGCTGTGCTAGTAACTACATACATTGTCATTCATTTCACCTGAAGTCAGCCTCCTATACATTTGTGTGTCAGTGTTTCAGCCTCAAATTTTATTATTGCTACATGAACCGTGTATATACCACCTGGCTGTGATTACGTCATTGCAGGCAAGCGGGCACGTGTGGAACATGTGGAGACATACAGGGCCCACTTCCAACCACTGGCAATTAGCAGAAACCTGACACTAGGCAACACTAATGCAGACAAAACACAGCTGTTTATCAGAGCCTAACAGTCTGGTGTGCGTGAAGTGGAGCAGAGTCTGGCTATAGAAAAACTGCATAAGAGAAGACAACACACAAACTACTATATAGCTTCTGATATCTCATCCACATTGGTTGTAGTGAATAGTGTACACCACATGCCATATAGTATGCATTCAAGATGCCCTAGCAGTACTGTCGAGTTCCTTGATGGTAAGTGGTCAATCAGAGTTGCAGTTATCACGACAAACACGGACACACAAACAAGGCTAGCGTCCAACAACTGAGGCGAAGTAAAGAGTATGGAGGCTAAGAGTTGAGACGAAGTAGAGAGTATTATAAAAATCTCAAATGTGTGGGCATAATGCTATACTGTATACACATGGAGGTTAAGAGTTGAGGTGATAAGTAGAGAGTATACTGTACATGGAGGCTAAGAGTTGAGGTGAAGTAGAGAGTACTTGGAGACAAAGTCAGCAGTATGGGCTCCATTCAGTGTCTTCATGGCCTTCCAGTGGAGGCTGCCAACTCTGGTGGGGTCCCCTCCCTTCAGGCCTGTCTCACTGGTGATGTAGTCCAGCCAGAGATCTGGGGGAAAACAAGGATAGATTTCACATCCCCCCTCTCTTTGTCCCTCCGTGGGGGAGACTCGACTCCTTGATCAAAACATGCTTCAATCGCAGGACCCCCACATCTTTTTCCTACACATTGATTTTTGCATTCAAAGGCCTGCTTTCCTTCTCTCTCTTCCTTTCCTCTTTGCCTCTCTCTGTCTTATTCCTTTTTCTACCACACGCACATTACCTGGGTGGTCAGCTCCCCACTCATTGGTGACCTTGTCGTAAAGATCCCTCAACCTCTTCATACTTTGCTTCTCCTGCGCCACAAAAAGGGTCAACTCAACCCTATACCACGGTAGACCTAACCTACCATCGACTTCTCAATTTCAATACATTTGCAGTAGATCGGATAAGGCACAGTTGCTTTCTCCAAAAACCTAACAAAACATAAAAATTTGATCCTCAGCACACCAAATTTTTGAAGACGTCTTACATTTTGTAGGTCTTTCTAGCAGATTTGACTCCCACCCACTGACAATGCCCAATCAATGTACTGACGAGATAGCGCTGTTTGGTCAGCTGGCTGTGGTGTCTCCGCGATGGCCCTCTGGATAACAAGATGGGTGAGTTATCTTTACTGCGCTTCATTGACGGCAGGATACTTTTATGGTGCACAAAATTGCAACTTTAAGTAAAGCTGTGTGGGGGCAAGACAGAAGAAAGGGGCAGGTGGGTGCGAGATACTTAGCACAGCAGATCCCAGAGCACGCACAAAAACTACCTGAAAAGTGGCATCCACTTCTGAATCAGGGGTATCACTGGATATGAGCACCTCCAACCAAAACTGCCATAAAGACAGAGAATTCTGCAGGAAAAAAACTGAAAACTGACTGACAGACTCACACAGACTTACCTCTGCTGGTACGGCCTTGGTGGCTTCCGAACACAGTTGGATGAGTGAAGCACATTCTCTCTCCTCCCCCTCTCCCCCCTCCTCCCTCCCTCCACTCCTCTCGTTCCTCAACCTCAGTAGCCAGAGAGTGTGAGAGTCAGGGTAGGTCTGTGTTCCAGTGACTAGGGCTCTGTGGGCCTCCTCCTTCAGTCCCATACTTCTCAATACCTGCACCTGCATCAGTTAGTTTACTGAGAGTTTACTAAAGTTTACTAAAGTTTGCTGAGAGTTTACTAAAGTTTACTGGGTGGTATCCAAATTTGTTTCTACCTGCTCTTCAATCATGTCCACAGACATGTGCTGTGACTTGGTACAGTTCTGGTAGCCATTCAGGAGCCTCTTTATGGCCTATGAGAATATCAAAGAACAATAGTTCTTCCACTGTATTGTGGACATAATTATCCTCAGACAAAATATATAGGACCCACTCGAAGTTGAGTGGAGTCAGTTCCTTCATTCTCCGTGACCTCACGGCACCACTTGAGATAGTGTCTCCACAGAGACGATGGCTGGACCGTTACCCCCAGACCCTCTCTATAGCATCCCTCTACCACCTCCTCAATACTGGATACCTCTGTTCCTATATGGCAGGGCAGGGGAGGAGGAAGAGAGGAGGAAATAAAAGAGAAATAGATGGAACATTGAGATGAGTAGAGGCGAGAAAAGTAGGGGACAGAAGAGGAGAGAAAAGAAGTCAGTAAAGAGAAACAGAAGACAGTACAGAGAAAAAGTGAATACTGAAAAGATTGATTGGTGGGTGTGGCTAACCTGTGAGAGTGGTGGTGTCTATGTTAGTCCAGTGTCTGCGTGCCAGAGCTTCCCAGCAGTCAGCAAGATGAGAGTAATCTCTCCTCAGACTTAGAGAGAGAGAGAGAGGGTGGGAAAAATATGGAGTAGGGATAAGGAAAGGGAGACACAGTTAACCTCTGAAAAAGGGGGCATCATATTCAAAGATGTCCCTTATTCTGAGGTATGTAGTACAATACACTAACATGGGGGAGAACGGAAGTGTATAGAGAGGTGTCCTATATTTGGAGGGTCTTTTTTCAGAGTTTTAACTGTTGTGCGTGGGGATAAGACACACACTAAAAATAACTCCATACCAGGAGTAGACCTCCTCTTGTCTCTGCTCAGATCGCTCAAACAGACGGTAGATGTCGATGAACGAAACTAGAAACTGGACGTTGTTTGGAACCGCCTTCACGGCCTGCTGGAACACAATGGACGGGATCTCGTACGAGAAGAACTCTGCTCCGAGTTTCTCTAATTCTTCATCTTCAGATTTCTCCAGACCCAGCATTAGCCGCCGCTTTTTCATCTGACGAAGAGAGAGGGAGAGATAAGACCAGAAGAGAGGAGAAGGAGAAAGAGACAGGGATGGAAGAAAGGACGAGGGAGGAAGGAGAGGTGTAGCTGTCACTGACCTTGTCCACGTGCATCAGCTCCATCCGAAAGTACTGCACAAAACACAAATACGGCAAATCCTATATATACAAGAGTACCACTACTGCAGTTTGTGATTCTAGTTGCGGGCACAATGTGTATACGAAAAGTGGAGCCTTTCATACAATTCCCAAGATGACCTTTAATTTTGAGGGGAATACGAAATTAGAGAGGTTTTTAAAGGAAGTTGATCGAATCAATGAAAAAGATACTGTCTATACCTCAAGCCAGAGGTGGGTGGAGGAAGGATTGGAACGGAGACCCTGCTGCATGGTGGAACGGCCCGAGGATGGGTCATTCTGGTCCTCAAACTGGAACTTCCCTGCCATCACCCACAGACCTGACACAACATTTACAAACTGGTAGTTCGAGGGAGAAGTTTACGTATAAAGAGCTTAGAATCGCTTGCCAAAATGCTAAGCATTCAACAAGAGTTGCCGTTGTCAACCACAAGTATCGATCTCAGAACCGGCTATAAAAGCCATCTCATTTTTACCCCACTTATGCTCAGACACTCCCCAATAGATTACAAATATTTTGAGGGCCTGTCTCTGCAGCCATGCTCCATGGTCAACCTGGGCTGTCAGGATGGTTTTTGCATTTGACATTAACATTGTTCTTTTAAAAAAGCGGCCTGACAGCCCAGGCAACCCTACTCCAAGGCAGAGCCAAGGAGAGTAACTCCTGGACCGGAACAGACAGGCCTCCAAAAATTGTGACAAATTTAGAACTGAGATGCCGCAGTGGAGTGCTAAAGCTTATATAGGCAGAATTGAGAGCAGTAGTTGTGGTTACTATGAATAATGTTATGTTACGGTATGCAATTGCAATGGAGGTGTGAGAGTGGATATTAATATTTTGCCTGGTTTGTTAGGATGCAGTGCAATAGCTCTGGCCAGGATTTTCCCTAGGGTCACATGATGACGGCTCTTCCGGCAGAAGTCAATGTACTGCAGCCACAGTCTCACGTCAGCCTGAGACGGGGGACAGGGAGGCAATTGACAATCACACAAATTTATGAAGTAGCAGAAGTGGCTTTATTGTGTGCAAATTTACATTTTTCTGCGTCAGCAAAAACGGTATATATACATAATTATATAGCTTTTTTTCTAAGTGTAATTCTCAAATGAAAGGTTTTAGTCACAAACAGCAATGGTGCTGTATTCTCTCTCTCTCACCTTGAATCTTTTCACAGCTCTCTGCAGATCACGTGAAAATGAATCATGTGATAATTACGTGACAGTCTATAGTCTACCTTGAAGAGTGAGTGTACTCTGTCCTGGATACCGTAGTCTGCGTCTCTCCTTGCCGAGGTCACTCCAAGCCTCTGGGGAGAGAGAGAATGGTTGGAGAATGGTTGGAGGATTGTTGAAAGCTCAAGAAAAATTTAGAGGGCTTACCTTCTTTCTCACCTTCCGCAGTCTATCCAAGTTCAACTCATACTATGTGTTGACAACATAACCACAGCGATTATCTATATCTTATAGGGAGTTTGAAGATTAGGCTCACAGTTATTGCTCTTAGGAAGTCTTCTCTTCTCACGGGCCGCCTCTGGAGCTTGTACTCCATGCCTCGGCGCCGTCGCACTATCTCCCTAGAGGGTTGTTGTTCCAAATAATGCCCACCACGCAGGGGACGGCGGAAGACGGACTCACTTTATTTCCTGCGGGGAGAATATCCCGGAGCGTTCCAGCTCCTCCAGCTCGGGGAGCATCAGCTCTAGATTTCTGTGAACCACCTCCGCCATTTCCACACCGTTCTATATAATATATATACGGCCCAATGGTGCGCCCACGTGCTGTTGTAAGTGAACTTCGACCTTTTACAGTCCGGTCATGCGCACGAATGTTGACACAACCTTTTGACCTGCTGATTGCATGCTCGGGTCATGAAGTTGAAGAATGATGTGAAGCATAAAAGAAGAGCACTCCTCGGCCCTGGTGTTTGCAGCTAGACCAAAATGTGGAGGGTGGTACGAGCAGCGGGTGGGCAAGACGGGAGCCCCGCGGCCTTACCTCCCAACGGGCCTCCTCCGAAGCAGATGGTCCACAGATGGTACCTGGGCGGGCTTGCCTCTGCAGCCGCAGCTGCCTGCACACCCGCTGGACCTCCTCAAGGTACATACACGACGACCATTATTGTGTGTTCTTGCCGCGCGAGCTGCAGCTTCAACGCATTTCAGCTGCTTCAACTCAATTCATGCATGACCTGCTCTGATGTTCATCTCAGAAGTGTGGCAACGGAACTTGTGTTGTGTTGATGGTCATGTGTCCCTGTACTTTAATACCCTGTACCAAGACTGTACACATAGTTAACCTCCGGGGTAATGGCAGAGTTTAATATGGGTCCAGGTCATTTGGCAGATATTCATGATTCACCCCTTCGAACAGACCAGCACACCTCACTAATTACTGTATGTACATTCCAGGTTATATACTATCGCTCAGACCCTGTCTCCTATCCTCCCCCTCCCCCTCTCCCTGTCCCTCTGCAGGTTCACCTTCAGACACAACAGGAGGTGAAGAGGGGGCTATGGGAGATGGGTGTTCGAGTGGTCCAGACCCAGGGAGTCAGAGGTCTCTACAACGGTCTCACTGCCTCTCTCACACGACAGGTGAGGAGGACCCAAAGAGCTATTTGTAATTCTTACGAAATTTGTGCACACATTTACTGTAAGAGAAGAGTGCATCAGAAGATGTGGCAACTGGCAAAATGACGGATAAATAACTCCGTGCCTGTGCACATATGGCGCTATGGTAAAAGGTTTAGTTCGATGCAGTGTTCTAGATTTCCTATGTTTGCATTCACCCAGTGTGTTATATTTGAACCATTGTTGCATTAAACCCATGAGCGTATAGTATTTCCTCTAACTCACCCACTCGGGTTTCTCTGACAAGACCTATTACTTTATATCTGAGAATATTGTATGCATGTATATACCAATGATACAGCTAACGCCATAACCTATGGAGTATGAATGACAGTATAGTTTCGTGACCTAATGCAGCTCACCTACTCCACCACGAGATTTGGTGTGTACGAGATGCTCAAGTCTTACCTGTTGCCTGCCGACGGATGTGAGTTGGTTGTTCCGTTTGAAACTCTTCTTCACTGTGTGGAAAATGTGTTTCTCTACTGCATGTGCATACATACATACAGCTCCGTTGCCATTTCATTACAAGATCATCATGGGAGCAACAGGAGGTAAAAATAGAATCTGAGTTAAAAATACAGGATCTTAGTCAGTAAAATTTTGTGTTCTGCACAGGGTTCTTCGGTGGCATAGTTGGAAGTCCGTTTGATGCAATTAATGTACGGATGCAAAACGACATGAAGCTGCCTTTGGAACTGCGGAGAAAGTCAGCAACAAACTCTAGTTTTTTTTGTTATCTGGTCTGTGTACAAATTTATATATACCTCTCCCAACATACAGCTATAAACACGTGGTGGATGGAGTATTAGGATATCAAAAGAAGGTACTAGAACGACGCCCAAAGTAGCAAAATACGCATGTCTACTTTCTCGTTTTCCTTTTTGCCAGAGGGAGCTCTGTGTTTGTGGAACGGGTCGTCGATGGTTGTCACGAGAGCTGTGCTAATGACATTGTCTCAGGTATATATGATAATAGGAATATGTGGGGCTGCAAAGATGTGAGGTTTTTGTCGTCTGTGAACAGATTGCATTCTATGAGCAGGCTAAGCAGCTGCTGCTTGGCACCGGCCACTTCAGGGACAACACAACTACCCACTTCACATCCAGTTTCATGGCTGTGAGTTCACCATTTCCCTAGGACCTTTTCTTTGCCTGCTGCGTTGTCATAACAACAACTGCCTTTTTGCCTGCTATGCCTGCTATGCCATTGTAGGCAGTGGTAGCAATTTGCCTGTTGTCAAATCGTCTATCTGCCTATATATACTGTGTTGCTCCATATCACTATAGGCAGTGGTGGCTACTGCCCTGACTCAACCAGCAGATGTCATGAAGACCAGACTACAAAACGCACCTTCAGGAACTTTCTCTGTCAGTACTTTCCTACATGCTCACTGGTGTGCAAGCATTGCACTTTAATTCCTAACGTTTTGCAGTAAACAAATTTGTTATTGTCACTCTTCCTACTGTGGTTCCTCTTCTTTCTGTGCAGTCCCTCATGCAGTGTTTCTGGTATACAGCAAAAACAGGACCATTAGGTTTCTTCAAGGTACAAATGTATATTATATGACAATTGGTTAATGGTTGTTAATTGCAGGGGTTCATCCCAGCATTTGTTCGTCTGGGGCCCCACACAATCCTCACCTTCATCTTCCTCGAGAAGCTCCGAATTCTCCTTCCTCCTAAATCCTAGCCGTCTCACATTATCGTTATTTTATTGTAACATAGCCACGGTTTTTCATTGAGCTTTTGTATGAAGCCAGACCACCAACTACCAAAGTGCATAAAAACACTTGTGTTTTAAGGTTAAAAATCCTGATTTTGCAAATGCATACGAAGACTATGTATTAGATGCTGCAATTGAACCTTCTCCCTTCAGCACCACCTCCAGTTCTTGCCCGCCAGCCATCCTCTGAACGTCTCTGTCCTTGCGGACCAGGACGCTGGGCAGTTTGCGGATCTTGGCCACGTCGGAGGGAGACAGCTCCAGCTCCTCACAGCAGGCGGAGACCAGGGTGGGGTAGGTGGGCGGAGCAACCTCCACCTCCACGAAATCAGACTCTCCGCTTCCACTGACCCTCACCTTCACCAACAGTGGGGAGGGGTGGGGTCGATTCTGTCCACACTTACAACTCGAGGAGGTCTTCTCAGTTCTCAACAGGTGAAGTTGGTCCATCTCTTTGGCCAGTGAATCACCAATGGTCTCAGGGAGTCTCTTTTCTCCGTCAGTGTAAGTGGGAACCGCTGTAGTGGTCACAGTGTGTGCGTCAGGGTCAGGGAGCTTTTCTAGGTTTTTCTGGACATCGTAGTAAGGCCATGCAGGATGCTGCAGGTAGTTCGGCACAAAACCAGGACTTTGTTTCTCGAATGAATTATTCTCTGGAGTTCCAACGGTGGCTGCCTCTTTTGTCAAACCTATCAAAACAGAGGACTGGCAGAAAATGTTCGAGCAGAGTCGACTCACCATATCTAGAGAGTAGCTTCAAGACTTGGTCATCGCTGGTAACTTGAGCCACGCTCTCACCTTTAGTGGAGGCAAGATTGACATCAGCTCCCTTTCTGAGAAGATGTTCCGCTATGACCACGTGGCTACGCTTGCAGGCCCAGTGAAGTGCAGTCCTAGAAACAACCAAGCCCATAAACTCCATACATTTGAACTGGGAACTGCTACCAGCCGTTCAAAGTATGTTGTGAGTTGATCGAGGCTCCGCTCTCCAGCAGTTTCTGCACGGCATCGAGGTTTCCAAGACATGCAGCTTCCCTCAAAAGTTGTTCCATGGACCCCAATTATGCGAAAGTTACTAACAAAGCGTAATTTTGAAACCGCGGAACGATGACGTCATTAGCGCGTGATCGATCAATCAATGCAATCAGCCCACTTTATCACGGTGTCTAGAGTGTCAAAAGAAGACGATTTCGCGTGATACTGAGCAGAGCCGCGTTGATCAAGTCAAGGAAGACACAGACATGAGCTTCGCGTCCGAGACGACCACTGATCAGGGGAGCCTCAGCGACGTGGTGCACGAAGGGACGTCGTCCCGCGCGAGCGCCACGAGCAGCAGCGGAGCTAGCTGTCAGCAGGACGGTGATCTGGGCGGCGACGGGAGCGAGAGCGAATCGTACGTGGAGGTGGAGCAGCTGGGAGACGACGGAGGCTCCGCACCGCCGGGTTTCCCGTCGCTGACCACCCCAACCGTCCTTACTTCGCCCGCTCCGTCCCCGCCGTGCAACGGCAACGTCGTGAGACACGTAACGAAGAGGACGCTCATCACGCTGCACCAGCGAAGCGTGCTAGAGGAGTACTACCGGAACGGGATGACCAGCGCGTCTCAGCAGTTGGCGGAGGTGCACGAACTGGTGGCGGCCAAGACAGGACTAGACATCACCGTTGTGCGGGTGAGTGACGATTTTCAATGCTGTTTCGCGCGCTTTCATTGTTGTTACATGGGGTTTTGCGGATTCATGTGAGATCGAGAGCGATGCGGAAATAACGTCAGGTGGAATGCAGTGCTATTGGTAGTGTGCAAAAACCGCATCAATTCGCGCGAAACATCCGCCGCATATCGCCGCGCGATTGCGACCTAAAAGTGCACAAACGCGCGGAAGAAATCACTTTTGTACGGTGGGCGAACCATCGGCGACCTACGCGCTCGCTGCAACGCTGCAGAAGTTAACAACTACCGGCAACTGTCTCACTAATAGTGCAATAGAAGAGTACAATAGAGGAGGAGAGTTATAATGGAGAGTGTTGATAGAGAGCATCAGCAACCAATGGAAGTGAAACCGCACCAGCAGCCTGTGGAGATCAAGGAGGATCCGACAGAGGTGCGCTACGTGCTCACCCAGAAAGGTGGCCAGGCACTGCTCTATGGCGGGCACTGCTTCTACAAAGTGCGAGACGGCGAGAACAGAAAGACATTCTGGAGGTGCTCCAAGTACAGGACCGAATCGTGCGAGGTTCGCGTGACCACGCTCGAAGATCAGGTCGTGGGTATCCGAGGGCAACACAAGCACCCGGCCGAAAACAACTCTGATCGTATCCGGGCATCTTCCGAGACCCAGTTGGTATGTGGTTAAAGTTCTATCGTTCCTAGATTGTGCTGTAGATTATAATATGCGTGCAGCGGTCTCCAATATAGCTGTGAAACAATCCACCAACTTCTCTGATGTTTTGATATTGCACGTTGACGTCACACTCTACATAATATTATAGCTTCCTGTTAATAAGAGATGATGGCTGCAGCTCTATATCAATCGCTTCACCTTTTGATAGCTGTTTGACACAAGCTGAATGCTATGCATGACTCACTCCATAACACTGACAGAAAAGTACACCGCAAAAAATTTCCCAGCTATTCCGAACAGAAATCGATGATGCAGGGAAATTCGATTATCCTTAAGTTTTGTCTGTATTATTGTTTCCTTTTCCAAAATAACAACCGTCTGGTTGCATATAAAAATAGAATCAGCAGTTTTATTAGCGATTGATTATCATAATACGATTAGCTTGTTGCATCACAGCAAGCAGTGCTTGAGCAGCATACTTACACCAGTCTGCGCTGGCATAATAAATTCTATGTGTAACTATCAATTGTGTAGTTAATACACCGCCTTATCTAATCAACTGTCTGCAGTAATCTCTGTTTGCACCAGGTACAGCGCAATTACCGAGACATGGGGACATAGCATGCCATGCAGTGACATATGCATAATCTCTAGCTCAGCTTTTAACCCTATCACCACTAGCGCTGCATCTACTGCAGCACTTCACACATTATTACTCTGTCCCTGAGCCCTGCACTGCAGTTTATACATCCACCACTGCACTGAAGTTTATATTATGTCCACAACTGCACCAAAATGCAGAGAATTCTTAACATTTCCCACACATATGTTAGAGCTCTTGGCAGACGTATGAATGAATCCACACACACAAAACGCAAAGAATTGCGTCTGCAGAATCATTAGTTTCTAGCAGTTTGTCGCGCCGGAAGTGTTGGCGCTGGGCAGTCTAGAGGCAGCATCTTGTACATGTGTTTCTCAATGGGCAGTTGACCATTGCGTGACTGGCGTAGAGAGGCTAGCATATGCTGCCCTGCTCAGTTGGACTTCCTGGCCAGCCACGACGTTGTGCCACTCTCTGTCGATGGGCTACATCTAACCTCTCGGCTGCCAGGGATCTGGGGACTCACATACAACTAACTCTGGGCTCCAAGGCGCTGTATTCAAGTCCCATTAGTGTCGCCTATTGTTTTCGTTTCCCGACAGCAGTTTTGCTAATTTAGACTTGGTTCGCACTCTCTGCTAATTTAGACTTGGTTCGCACTCTCTCTCTCTCTCATTCTCTCTCTCTCTCTCTCTGTCTCTCTCTCGCTCTCTCTCTCTCTCTCTCTCTGTCACTGAAATATTGATGTTGAATCAAAATCTGCTAACTAAGCGATATTTTTTTAAAAAATTTCTCCGGCTAACTTGTCAGAAGTTGCCACTCCCGTTCGCCGTGCCAAAGTACTTCGTGTGTATTCGCATAAAAATTCGACAGTGCAGTGAAACCCCACAAGCTGTCTGTATGACAATATCTGGTCACCTATGAAACACGCGATTAGGTTTCAACATCTTTCTTTCTTGTGCTGCGGTCGTGTAGGTCCACCCGGTTTGCTTTCACAGCGTGCATAAAATATTGTACCGTATTCAGTTTTCTTGTTTGCTGCCCACAACCGCCTCGTCGAGAAACCTACTACTACAATTAAAAATTTCGTTGAGAGCACTCTTTGGAACTGAAAGTGAAATATCGTTCTGAAGTAAATACTGCATTTTTTCTTGTCATTCTTGTTACATTCAAACACTTTCTTGGTAAAATTGCTCTTTAATCGGTCTGTTTGTTTTGGCTGCATTTTCATAGAGATCGTAATGTTGGTAGTGAATTCATGGGCAACTAAATCTTATTTCAAGAATGAGGTGTTGTGGCCTGCAGAGGCAGCTAGCATTAAATGACTGTACATTTTGTAAGAAAGTAGGAAGACGAGATAAGAATGTGATATTTGCCAGGGTTCTAAATTAAAAACAAGTAACATCCAAGCTTGAGCTTGTCAGTCAAGTTTAGCCAGCCTGTCAGTCAGGTTTAGGAAACAAAACTAGCCAGTCAACTGTGGATGATGTGTTGTCTCCTGTTTCTCTGCTGCAGAACTGGATCAGGAACCGCAGGAGACCCAACGCTGCGAAAATGGCAGAGAAACTGGCAGAGAAGATTGCTCCGTACACCATCGCCGCGACTTCCTCCCTCCCCTCCCAGCTGCCGACACTCATCCACTCCAACCCCACCTCCCTCCCCACTCTCACCACCTTCCCACACCCCATGGTCGTCACGACTACCAACCACCATCACAACCTGGCCACTCCGGGTATGTTCGTTGCAGCCGTGGCATTGTCATGGCGACCAGTCTCGGCGTTGTCGTGGCGACCGGTCTCAGAGCACAGACTCACGAAATTCTCCTGAATTTCTCGGAAAACAGGAAACCTTACTACCAACACAATATCCCAGTAGAAGCTCTAGTGCAGTGGCCATAATAGACTCAGAGTGACACACCTGACATGCACACCTGCCACTAATGTCCGTATTCAGCCCCTGTGTTTGTGTGCAATTAGTACTCGGTTGTTTGTGTAGTGTTTTCTGAGGCCACTTCCGTCGTGAAAATGAGCTGCCTTCTTTCTCTTCCTCTCTCTCTCCCCTCCTCACATTATCACACAACACACACACACACCTCCCTCCCTTCCTCTCTCTTCTCTCAGGACTGATAAGGGTGACAGACACCGCTCCCCATATTCCCGTAATTCCATTTGGCTCCCATCTCACTGGCCCGGAAGCGAAACGCATCTGTCTGGACCATAACATTCATCACAGTAAGCTCTCTCTCTTCTCACTCTAGTTGAGTAGACCATAGCCCCTTGTAATTATGTCACCGCTAGCACAACACACAAAGGGTGTTCTGACTGGTGAAGCCCCTAATAATCAGGACACAACTGGCGTTGTTGGAGTGTCCTGATCGCGTAGTTTTGGAAGCTCTTCATAATCAGGACACTTAAAGCACTTTGATGGGTGTCCTGATTGATGAGGTGTCTTAATGTTGAAAAATCAGGACACTAATCTACAGTAAAGGTGTCCTGATGTTAAGGTATCCTAATTTTGAGAAGCTCTTCGCGTCTAATCACGACATTGCTACCAATGCGAGAAGCGCCCTGATTCACAAGGTGTCCTAAACCTAAATATAGCCCAGTATTCTCGGAAACCCGCAAGAATTCCTTTTCGAGACACACGATAAAAATTCAGGGGCAGGTAGAGTAACGCGATAACTTCCCTGGCGCTAAAATTGCCACTGTCACCAAGAACATTTAACGTAACACCGACCTCTGGGGTAACCAAATAGTGCTCAAGTCAGTTAGCAGTCTAACTGTTGTTTTACATATCCACTTCAAGTTCAATATATACAGTCATCTCCTCAGTCAACTCACTCGTAGATGGACCCGCTATCAGTTACGTTACTCACTCTCCGGACAATATATCAATGGTCCTGGCTCCTGAAAGCTAGAAATGGTCGAGGTCTTCCCACGTCCAAAGTTTACCTTCTCCCCCATTCTTGGGGCTCCGCGGATTCTACTCTATACTACTACAACTGGCTGGCAGGGCTGGGTCCCTGGTGGTTTGAACATCAGGTTTCATCACTCGGGCGGCTTGGCTCTGTGTTTGTGACTGGTTTCAGTTGAGGTTTTTCGGGCTCGCGTCACAAAGGGACGTTCGTTGATTACGTTACAACTTCTGGCCACCGTGAAGCTGCGTGTGTTGACCACTTCACTTGGAGACATTTCCCTCCCACTGAGTTGGTGTTTGTGTTTGTGTGTGTGTGACATTTGCACTACTGCCACCGCACGCTGGAGTAGGCTGTACAATATACTATCAGTGGATGCACAAATTCTGAAGGTTTGACTCTAGCATCAGCGCTGCCAAATTATAATGAAACTGTTGAATCACTTATCTTGAATGAATTTAACTGCACCGACGTAGCCCTTTTATTCTTTAAGGGTAAGTAGTATGTCCTTACTTCAGGGGTTAAATAACAATCATTATTGTTTGGAGCAAAGTCACTTTATGGACCAAGAATGAGAAAAGTGTTAATCTCGTGGCCCAGAGGCCATAGTCGCTCAGAAATATTCCCAAATCCCTTGTCACGGCTGAGAGGCACTCCCCTTGCTGTTTTTGTTTCACTCTCTCCCAGCCACAACCTGAAACATTACAGACGTGTATAGTTGGCCCACTGTGCGATAGGTAAACTGCAGACCAAAATGAAAATCTCTGGTGTGGTTTTTGCGGCGGGCAATAATAACAAACCCCTCTCTAATCGCAGTTGGTATAATGTTGTATGGGGTGTATAAATAAGGGGATTGGATAAGTTTATCTTGGTGTTTGTGGGGGAAATATGGACACAAAGAGGATTGTCTGTATTAGTGAGGTGTCCTGATTTTTCTGGAAACTGTCCTGATTGGTGAGGTGTCCTAAATTCCTGAATCAGAGAAGTGTCCTGATTGTAAGGGTGTCCTGATTGCATTTTAAAATGCCCTACAAGCAATTCTTTGGTGTTCTGATGGTAGAAAGTGTCCTGATTTGGAGGTGTCAGTTTTTCAAGATGATATCAGAAGTGTCTATAGCAGGAATCAATAGGAGATGTCGTGTTTACCCACAAGTTACCTTCCCCGCGTGCGTGCAGTGCTCACGCCCCGAAGAGCTGCTAAATTCGGCAAAATTCCCAAAAGGAACTCTGAACAGCGGTTGAATCATGACTGATGGGGACTTCAGAGTCCCATGTATAATGCCATGGGAGCACATGTTATGCCTTCCGTTCGATGTTGTCGCAGTGCGAGGTTTTCAATCCTTTTGTCTGCCACTCTGATACAACTAGTGTTACTACAATGGAACCCCTCCAATCCTGTCACTAATAGGGCAGAATACAGTCCGTGTCGGTGAGACGTTCTTGGTTAGGATACTGGGGAAGAAAAGTCG